TTCAATTTCAAAAGAGTTAGCTTTTGTCTAAATTGGTTTTATAATAATTGTACTTTAGGAGATTGTATCAGCTAAGCAACATGTAGAACACATACTTTGACTGCCAGGGTAAGATTTAATTTAAAGAATTGATTACTTTGGGTTTCACAAGTTTTATAAGGGTAATAAACTAAGGATCATCTGGAAATATTTGCAATATAAAGTTGGGTTTCTTTTCACTTTTTTAAAAATTACAAAATATTTAAACATGGTTAAATTGAACATAAGTTTGTCAAAATTCAAATTTTAAAACAATTTCTTTGTACTGTTAATAATTTTAAAAAGTGAAAAAAAAATTATTGCATTTAAGTTTATATAATCTATCTAAATATTTTTAGTGTAGTTGGCAAGTAGAGTTATTCATCACCTCTTTTTTCATGTTTGGGAAATTGGGATCCGCCTGGAAAGCAAGCAAAAGCTCCACAACCTCAGTTCTACAAAGAGATTTGACCAAAACTTACTAATAAACACACAATTAGATATATTAAATAGATCAAACCAAGTTAGTTTACTATTTATGACACTCTTTTATTATAATTATAACATTGATAAAAACTATTATAATGTGACACGTACTAGCATTCAATATCAAATGCATACAATCACAACAACAATTTACCTGCTGAATCTTACAGCTTCATGTAATGCAGTAGACCCATAATTATCATCTAAATAGTTAGGATTTACACCATAGTCAAGCAGAATTTCTACGGCATCTTTAAAACCACGTATGGAAGCTTCAACAATAGCACAATGGTTATCCATCAGATGTGGGGCGTAATCAAGCAGTGCAGTTATGGCATCTGATGCATATTTTCAAATAATTTACAATACTGTATCATTAATAACAAGTCATTGAGATATAAGTTTTAGATATATATACCTGTGATGTAGCTAAATTTCTGATCATAGTGTCAAGTACATGTAATGTTTATTGTACTGTCAAATTTTTAACTTTGCAAGATGCTGACATAGTTTTATTTGTATAAAGAAACTTTTTTCACTATCAAACAAAATCAATAAAAAGCCATGAGAAAAATCCCATGTACATTCATTGTTTACTTACCTTTCCTATTAAATGTGGCAGCAATATCCAGTGGTGTGAGATTATATTTATTTTTTGTCCACACAATGGCATTTTTCTGTTGTGATATTAAAAACTGTATGCTTAATATTTATACAACTATTAAAAACTATTTATTTCAACCAAAACCAGTAAAACTTTTATAATAAAGTATAATAGTTTGAATTTCTTAAAATATAAAAACCCACTTTGATTAAAGTTTTTATAATCTTGACCCTCATGTCCATAACTGCTTGTCCCTGACAGGAAATGTGTAACGCAGTGTTTCCATCCTCATTTTCAGCATTCACCTAAAAATAGTAAAGGGATCCATCAAGTATGACATCAAGTATTAAAAGGTTATTCTTAAAGAAAATGTTCATAGATTTAAAAATACCTCGGCACCATTGAGCAATAAGAGTTCTACTAGGTCATAGCGTCCATGAAATACAGCAAGGTGTAATCCAGTGTTACTGTAAGAGCATTAAATTGTTATTTATGGCTATTTAAAAGTTATTATATAAGTATAAAATAAAATATATGTAAAGTAGCAGATTTAATAGATAAACATCTATTTTTTGTTATTAGTTAAGCCTCTAACATTGAATAAAAATGAAAAGGTGTTTACCCCTTTACATCCCGAGCTTTTACATCAGCGCAGTGCAAAATAAGTTTCTCAGCTATTTCTTTTGAACCTTCAAGGTTGAATTTAAGGTGGGTATTATGGCAATAGATGATTGAAAAAATAATATTAAACTCTACTTGAAGAGAGAAATACAGTGTTCCCACGCTTTTTGTAGTTCTTTTAAAGCAGACTAACTGTTTTCCACAGTTTAAAAAATTGTTTAGATTTGATGGATTTTAAATATTTTTAAATCAAGAAGTTCATACACATTTAAATTAAAACTATTAAATCTAACATGTGAGATTGTAACCATCACATGATTGGTTGATGGATGTAAAGCAACCAATCAGAATGCCGAGTGGCTCAGTAACCATCACATCTTGTAATTAAGGGAATAGGAAAGGTTGTGAGGTTTTATTCAGTCATAAAATAAATATACCATCCCTACTTTGTAGAAATAAGTCTACTTTGTAGAAATTAATTTATTGCAGATGGGCTTGGATTGTAACTAAAAGTGGTATGTGAGGCCACACAGTACAGTGAAACATAATAGTAACTAAGAAAACACTAAATCATCATTAAAAACTAATGCAGTAATGAGAAATATTTGGAATTAGAAGCTATAACAAAGTTTTTAATAAATGTTTATTCAACAGAAGTAATAGAATGTAGTACAGCTACAAGAAATGGTGTAGTGTTTGAAGAGAATTAAGAATTGGCAAGGTCCGGTGGTAAAGTGCAGGACTTTTTAAAGCAAGGGACAGCAACCCATCTGACATCAAACAGCTGCACACACAACACACAGCTGCTGTCTTACAGATGTTCTTGTGTGAACAAAAGATGATCTAAGCACATCCAGAAAGACACGTCCAGGTGGCATTACAATGTGGCATGCAATATATAGTTATATTGGAGGAAGAACAATGACATTAGATTTGTTACAATTAAGAAAAAAAGAGTTGAAGTACCATCTAGTACAGCTAAAATAAATGAAGAAAAAGTACCATGTAGTACATCTAAAAGAAAGGAAGAGAGAGAGGTAGTACCATGTAGTACATCTAAAAGAAAGAAAAAAGTATTACCATTAGTACAACTAAAAGAAAAAAGAAGTATTACCATTCAGTACAGCTAAAAAAATGAAAGAAAGAAGTAGTACCATGTAGTACAGTTAAAAAAACAAAAGAAAGAAATAGTAACATGCAGTACAGCTAAAAAAACAAAAGAAAGAAATAGTACCATGTAGTACAGCTAAAAGAAGTGGTGTATAAAGTGTTTCAGGCTCCCGTGTGTTGACGTCTATGTGCCTCAACTCGACACGAATTAACTTCTCATCACATTTTCCTGTCTGCCAATAGAGACTTTCATCTTTTTTTTTCTTCACTGTCGTTGAAAGAAGTTTCTTTGGAAAAAAATTTAAATCATGAAGATTATCAAACTGCTGATTAACTAAAATGTATATGTCTACACAAATGTGCCACTTATACACACAAACGTAATTACCTGCACTTTCATATTATCTTTCTCTTTGATAGCTTTAAGCAGCTCACCTTCTTTACCCATTTCTGATTACTGTCAAATGAAATGTTAGCTTTTTAAAAACTTTTGTTTTCATACAATGAACCAGTTAACAAATCTATATGGATTTTTTATTTTAGGTACCTACTATGAACTCTTCTATTTAAAATGGTTTATTTGCACTCACGTGCAAACTGAGACATGTACTTTTTTTTTACATTTGTATCTTGATTTACTTCTGCAATTTCTATGTTTCTTTTAAAATAAATATTAAGTTAACAAAATGCACACACATCTAACTCATATCTAATACATCAGAAACTCACAATGTTAGTTTCTCATTCAAACTTGCTTGAACACACATAAACTGGTTCCCCAATTCCATCAATATTGTTCATGGACAGTTTGTTTGTTTCACATCATGATGAGCATCTGCATGGATAGAATGTAAAAATTGCTATTATGATCCACCAAAGTTGAATAAATGAATCTGATAGAAATGATACCTTTCCTTCTACCCTATCCTATAATAATAATAATGTCTATAGATTTTCTAATCTAATGTCTATGTATTTGCTCCATATTTTATTTATGAGTGATGTAATTCACTGTGCGTGTAATCAAGTTTCAATATTCTGTATGGGAGGAAATAGTATTATGTGATGACTGCTCAGTATGTAACTCTATTTGGTCAACATCTAAAGTTGACAAAGCTGTGTTGAGGATAGTCAATACAGGAGAATAGGTTCTTTAAATTTACTAGATATATTTTGTATATCACTCCCATTTTTGTATTATTAATAAACAAATTAGCTTTTTACCAGGTTGTAATCAATGTCTATAAATGGTATTGATCTACTGTCAAGGTTCAAATGTAAAATAGGTCCAATAATAGACTGGGAAACTAAGTTCAACTTTGCGGTCCGATATCTCCAGCAGTATTTAACTTATTGTGACCACAAACCTTGAGCATAGTACATCTACATTTAATCTATTCGTTTGCCAAATTTGATTGTTGTAGTACATAAACTCAATACGTCTATAAAAAAAATTGTAGCATGTCATATTTAAAACACAGCAATTCGAAGCACAGCAGAGCAGTTCAGTCGGACAGTGGTCAGCCATCATGTTTTGATTTTTTGTCCACTTCAAAGTCTATAGACATCCTTATTATAGGACCGAATAGGACATATCATACAGATAAATAAACGTCAGGATTTCAGGAATACAGTTCAAGGTTTGAATTAAAAATCTGTTCATTAATAGCCCAAATAACTTAGTTCAACTTTGCTGTCCAATATCTCCAAAAGTATTTAACATAATTTAATTTTCCCAAGAACCTTGAGCGTTATACCTAAACATTTAATCTATTCTTCTACCAAGTTTCACTGTTGTAGTACGAAAACTCAAAGAGTCTGTAGTTGTAGACTCAAAGTAACACCCCCTTTTAAAAGGGGAAAAAGCCTCCCCCCTAAAATGCAATTGTTTAAAACAGGTACATTAATTAAACTTTGAAACATATTTTTAACTTTCAAAACATAAATCCTCCTAAAAATGTGAAAAAAATTACAAAAACTTAATGAGTCACCCTTTTTGAAGTTTTTCACTTTTCATTATTAATTAAATTAATTAATTTAGGCTATTTAGCCTATTATTTATTACGAGCCGGCCCGCGGCATAACATACGCCGCTATTTAGTTAATTTTTCTACTTTTCAGTAATTCATAATTTGTGAATTTGACAGTACCAACGCTGACACTGAAAATATTTCTTTAAAACACTATAAGTAGCTCGTTAAGGACCATACCCCCCCCCCTCCCCCACCCCCCAACGTTTAAAATCGTTTCAAACTAAATTATCTGCCCCTAATAGTAGGCTAATAGCCGTCACTAAACCCGACTCCACGAAGGTAAACATAGCGTGAACCACAGCTCACTAAGACCATGTAGGGGTGGGGATGGTAGGGAGCGCGTTTACAGCTTGTTTTCTAGCGTCTCCCAGAAGAGAATTATATAGATCTATAATTAATCTATATAGATTAGTTTGTTATTAGTCTCAGCCGATTTTACTACTAACTATCATTTTTTAAAATTTTATTTTAGTATTTTACTGACCTAAAACGATAGATTACCCTAATTTGGTATCCATGATCTTAGAATTTAGTTCAAAAAGCTATGGGGCCGTTTTAAAAATCAGTTTGACATAGGCCTACCTACTAAAAGACTTAAGTAAGAGTCTACCTCTACTATAGGAATATTAATACAATATTACTTGGTTTCAGTTCCTGCTTGCATTGTTTATGTTGCTCTACTTATCAAGTATTGAAAAACTGTCCGAGATATACTTCAAAGGACGAAGATCTTACTGGATAAATCTTATTCTTGTGAAAAAATAAACACATTCGCCGTCTAAGTCGATTATCATGTTGTTTTTAAATGTGAGCAATTATCAAAACTTACAGAGTAGACATTATGCAACTTGAAAGCTATAATGATGAGGTAAAAGATGTAGATTCTACTACAAGTCCAGTCTAATAATTAATCTTCATAGTACCAGTCTCTAGTTAGTACTCAATAATACTAAGCAACAGCTGGTGATAGACTACCATTAGATTTAGACTATTTGTATTTAAAAAATGAAAAATAATTCATTTTAAGCGAATAATTTTCAAATAAAAAAAAAACATACAGATAGATCTAGAAATAATAATTTACATTTTTTAATAATAGGCCTAACATTGGCGTTTTTAAAACTAACATGATAAAGTTATCTGGCAAATGTTATACAATTTTTATCTGTCCAACTAGATTGGTTGCAGGAAAAAAATGGTTTCGCCGTCAGAGAAGCTTGTTGTCACCGGGGCGTTAGTTAATATATTGAGTTCGATTGTTATAGTTTTATTAAATAAGTGGATATACACAAAATATAACTTTCCAAATATTACTTTGACCTGTATTCACTTTACTATAACATCACTTGGTCTTTTGATATGTCGACATGCCAATGTTTTTCAACCGAAAAGTCTCCCATTTTTTTCTATGTTGCCCCTTGCCTTTTCATTCTGTGGATTCGTAGTGTTTACAAATCTATCGCTGGAATCAAATACGGTTGGAACCTATCAGATCATTAAAACCATGACTACTCCTTGTATTATTGCAATCCAAACATATTTTTATGGAAAGCGATTTTCATTTAATGTCAAGTTAACATTGGTGAGTAAACTAAAAATAAGTTACTAATAAATACTAAATTAAATAGGCCTAGGCCTACTACTAACATTTAATATTATAATTATTATTGGCCAATATTCAATATAGGCCTAAATAATATTAAATAACTAATAACTAGGCCTAAACTTAAAACTCACTTATTAATTAATAATTAGTAACGAGATAAATATGGCCCAATTGAGGGAGATATGCAACGGACGCTAGGTTGCTACTTGATAGTGTTGTCTTTTTCTCTAAATAAAAAAAACACCAAAATAACCACTTACAATTTACCGTAAACGAAAAATGTCAGTGAAAACAGATTTTTTATCCAGAATCGGCCTTTAAATCAAATTTAAACTTGTTCTACATGTAGTTACTGCACATTGATTCTAAAAATACAGTTGTAGTCATTCCACTAAGCCTTGCACCTAATCTCAGTCATGACAAATGTCACATTTAGATTTCTTTTTCTTGATCAATAGACTTCATATATATAGTGCAAATATGTTAGAGATTAGTGTGAAATAAAGATAGTTGTTAAAGCTCACTGTACCAACATGTTAATTTAATTTTAACCAAGGATTTATATTTTATTTCAGATTCCCATCACAATTGGTGTATTTCTCAATTCTGTTTATGATGTCAAGTTTAATTTAATAGGAATAATATTTGCAACTGTGGGTGTTCTTATCACATCTGTTTATCAAGTGGTATGTCTTAGTTTAAAATTTCATCAAAATTTACAAACTTACTAATGTTTCTATAAAATGGACTTGTTCATTCTGAATCCTTGTGATTTAGATGAGAAGCGGGGAATAGTAGTAGGGAGAAAAGCATAAAATCGTGTTTAAAAATGTAATCAAAGATATATTATTTATGAGTTTATTTTTAAATGTTTGATTTACACAATATTTAAAACTTATTAAAATTACATTTTTTTTAACCCTTAAAGTGCACGCCATGTGGCCTTATACATTATAAATTATACAACAGCAAAGCCATGATTGTGGCTTAGCGTGCTTTAGGGGTTAAAGTACAAAAAAAATGTATTTATTCAGTTTAATTTGTGATGAAATAATAGAAATTAACCACTTGTAATTGTTTTCCTCAGTGGGTTGGCGAAAAGCAACATGAACTTCAAGTAAACTCCATGCAACTTTTATATTACCAGGCACCTTTATCTGCATTACTCTTAATTTTTGTGATTCCATTTTTTGAACCCCTAGATGCCTTTCATGGAGTATTCTTTAACTGGCCTTTTGAAGCCCTGGTATGTCTTACTTGTAAAGTATTTTATGCTAGCTAGTTATTAAATATATAATATATTCTATTGAAGTTATATAATCTTGTTATAATAATTGATGGTCGTTAAGTTTATTATTTGAAATTTACAAAACAGAAATCCACTGAGTAAGCACATATACATTTAATTACACTTATCAGCTACTGGAAAATCATCTCAGTGAGCATATTAACCCACGAACTGTCATTACAGCCGATGATCGGCCGTAATTCCCCTTTCTGTGGTGTTACGGCCGACTAAATCGGCCGTTATTAAAATCGCGGTTAAAAATGCGAATGAATAAATATACGTTGGTTAAGGGGAAGTTACTATTAAAAAATGAATTTCCTTCCTGTTTCCGTTATTGGAATGCTTTCTGTTTGTACATGAGCTTTGATTTTCGTTTTAAAACGGGAGTGAATATTTTCTCAGTATTTTTACTATGAAAATGTCGGTCTAAAGCCGGAGATCGTCAATCTAGATTAGAAAATAGCCTTAGATCTTCTTTATATGATTAAATACAGTGAGAAAATAAAGAGATGACTAGACATTCATGTTTGTGGTCTTCATTTCAGTAATAAGATATTTTAATAAAAAACTAGATTTATAATAATGAAAATGCATGCCTTTTTACTGTAATTCTTTGAATGATCGCAAAGTAAAAGTCATGAATGAAATAATTCATACAAAATCGCTTTTCAACATTAGTTTATAAAACTATGTATTATCTAAAACTAATGACTTCTAGTATCTAAAAATGTAGTTTCTATGAGACTTGGAATTTTTTTGGGGGGTTTTAGGGAGGGTTGAATACAGAAGTTGAGTAGTCAAATTTTACTCTTCTTGTAAATGTCAAGGTCACTATCAACATACACAAAATAAAAACAAACTATTTGTGTATCAAAAGATTCCTTGTCCAATATACTTTCAGAAAATGTATACATGTAGGGGTCTCTGATTTCATTCAATACTAAATTTTGACAATTTTATCAAGCATACGAAAAACTCTAAAAATGCCCGAACGCCACAGACTAGTTGCACTTGACAGTTCATGGGTTAATGCATATGAGAGGTGCATATTTTCTTTTTTTATTTTGAAACTAAATATCATAATTTTACGATTTAAATTAGTAAAGCCCCCCCCCCCCCCTTTCTTTTTAAAGAGGCATTTAATTTAGCTTCATGTTTTCCTAGTGTTAAAATGACACTGGATTTATTGTTCATAATTTTTTGTTGCTTTCTTTTATCATTTAGGTTGCCATATTTATATCTGCGTGTGTTGCATTTAGTGTTAATCTATCAATATTCTGGATTATTGGCAACACTTCACCAGTGACGTATCCTTTAAAGATTTGAATCTAGAGAAATGTCTACTTAATTTAATGATAGTCTTTTTGTCAGTCTTAAGATTCACCTTTTACCTGGCAGCTCTTAGAGGTGTATTCACAACAAACTTTACCACTTATTTCCAACCATGTGGTTTGATTATTTAAAAAATAAAATGGGTTGTGTGCCCCCCCCCCCCCCCAAAAAAACATTTATAAGATAATTAAAGAACTTGAAGTTTTAAAAAAATGGACCAAAATGGAATTTTACTGTAATTTTGTGAATGGCTTATTATTTAATTCTTCTAACACCAATCTCAGTAAATAATCTGTATCAGTGCAATCATTATTGCATTATTATTTCCTTTATTGTTACTAGATATAATATGATCGGTCATCTAAAATTTTGTATGACATTACTAGGAGGCTATCTTTTATTCCATGACTCCATTCAAATTTTACAGATGATTGGCATTTTTACCACTGTTGGAGGTGAGTTGTTTTGATGTTCACTTTAAATCATTTAAACATTAATAGAGTTAAATGTTTTTTCCCCAGAAAATAATGTACTTAGGTTCAACAGCTTCTGTTTCAAACTCAATGTCATTTTATTATAAAGATCTGAATCTTTCAATTAAGATACCATTGTCATTCTAGAACTCACTTTTACTTCATCAACTCACCTCTTAAAGTATTCAGTTTATTTCATTAACAAAATGACACTTGTGTTGGTAAAAGCTCCTTTGGGAGTCATTAAAAATTAAGGCCAAAAAATAATGTTTAAATTGGAGAAAGAATTTGCTAATTCATCAACCATCATCTTTTAAGACATTTGGACATAATTCAGCAACTTACCGTGAACATTTTGCTAATTTATTTTACAGGTGTTATAGCTTACACTCAAGTCAAACGTGAAGAGATGAAGATTAGCTCCAGTTTACCAACAGTTGGTGAGAGTCATGTCAAGAGTTAGAAGAGAGATCACTTCAACAGTTCACCTTGTGATACGAATGTTTTATATTTCAACTGAAAATTATTTTATTTTCACATTGCTTGACTTACATGTTTTATTTTATTATATTTAAACTAAAAAATCATTTATTTAATGAGAGGGTGTTAAATTCAATATTTCTGGTTTTATTTTAAAGAAATTTGTAATTAATGTAATAAAAATTGTCTGAAATTTTATTGTATCTAAGATAGGCAACATTTGAAATAAATAATTGTTATTGAAACCATATTCAGAAAGTTAAATAATGTATGTTTTGTGTACTTTTATACTGCTCTATCTATTGAAAAGTGCTACTAAAAGAGCTCCCTGCTATCTTTGAGCTGTACTGTTGGCTACCATTGTTTTAAATGAATAGTTTATGGAAAACTTTTTTTTTTGTCCTCTGTTTATTGTCTGTGATTGGACTTCATTACTGAAATTTTTTAATTAAAGATAAATGATTTGCCTTCTTCAAAAAAATATTGTTATTTTATAATTTGTAATTTTTATTATTAATGAAGCTTTTTATGTATAATTTTGCATTATGTTATAATATTAATATAAAAAGAATTTATTTGAATGTTCAATGGCCTTTTCTACATGGGTACTTCTGATATTGTTTTCTTCATAATTAGTAATAATAATAGTAAGAATTTACCAATAAATAACTACACAGTGGCAAACATTTTTGGTTAATTCTTGTTTAAGTGTAATAAAATATGCACTAAACATGAACCAATAAAAACAAGTCACTTAACTTTTAATGAGACATTATGTCCATCAATAACTACTATTTAAACCAAGATACATTTAGTAGAGCACAATACTAAACTTAAACTAAACATAATTAATAACATAATAATAACTTTTTTTTTTTTTTACTTATAATTTTGTTATGATGTGCATGGCAACTTAAAGCATGTTAACACAGGATAAGGTTTATTAAAGCCCAAGTTGGTATTCTGAAAAAAATGAGGAGCAATATTTTATTATTGCTACACTACATAGTACATTTGTTACTGTGAATACTGTTTACCTGAAGTACTAAATATTGTTGTTTTATTAGCCTGTTAGCTCATGTAAGTGGTATTATACAGTGAAAAATATCTGTTAGATCAAAAAGCAGTTGGAGACTGCACATGTATTCAATAAGATGGTCAGGAACAATATGATTGCTCTCGCATAAGTGGCAATGGAATCTATTAAAAATTTAAGTACTAAAGAAGAAATTTAAGTCTGCCTAACAATATATACATTATTGCTTTAATGTAAAGATTATATAAAGAAAAAAATCAACAATTTAAAAGCTACAACTGCAATGAATGGCCTAGAAGTGGTTGATTTTGTAAAATCATCTGTCCCTTTTTGTGTCCACATGGGGCCACCACAAATTTTATAAAATACTAGTTTAAAAACTGATTTGAGTTAGGCTTGCTTATCTATAAATAGTAAAGTGCCCTTTGAGTCCAAATGGTCCATGAGGCATATATAATAAACTCATCTATTTCTCATCGGTCAGCACTATGGCCTGCTGCCTTTACCTGATCAAGCCATTTACCTGTCAGAGCTGGATGGATTCAGGTCAAACATGTTTTAACATAAGTAGAGCCTACAAAGTGCAAAGAGTATTACTTTTCAAACTCATTTTTAAAGTGTAGTTTTAAAATCAAATCTTTCAGTTGCTGTATTTTTATATAAATGACAGTTTAAATGTGCTGAAAGATAAAATTAATTTTATTTGGTTTTTATACTTTATGTATAGAATTGTGTATTATTTTTCTGTTGTGCATACATTTATGGAAAATGGTATTTTTATGTTTTTTATTTCATACACTAATAATACTAATATATAAAACCATATGTTTCAAATGATAAAACATTACCATCAAGGCAGCTTATGAGATCCTTAAACTTACAGGGGGAATAAAGTAAAAGAATTATTTTCTGAAATATTCTTGCACAGATCACTAGACAAAAAAGAAAAAAGGTATGTGTGGTTTTTATTCCAGCATTAGTGTTACCTAATGAGGAAAAACTGTTTGGAATAACCTTTATGTTATGAAAACAAAAATATATTCAATATTCTTAATTGTAAAAATTATTGAAGTGTTGAAATAAAACTTGGGTGTTCAAAATTCAAATGAATTTTTGTCTTTTTTCCTTTAATATCTATTTATTAATGAGTTCACATTATAGCAATTATTGTAACAGGGATTTAATAACTTGGTTTGCTTAGTAATTCCATTTATGAATTAATATTTCCAGCGTTTTTAAATCTAATTATATGGTGTAATGAGATTTAGTTATTTTATTAATGTAGATAGGGGTCATCCATTTATGACGTCCACATTTATTTTTATTTTAGACACAAAAGTCAGTTTTTTCAAGACACCCCCCCCCCCCCCACCCGCGTGTGGACGTCATAAATGGATGATCCCATAGCACATTTTTATATCATTTACATTTAAATAAACTTTCTTCATGTTTTAACTTTTTTATTAGCGTACTTGTATATCATAGGAAAATATCTGGATTTGGAACAATCTATAAAAAGTTGTAACAGTTGCTTTTTATTCAAAATTAAAAAGATAGATACAATTGTATACAGCAGGGGTCTGCAACCTTTTGAGACGGAAGAGCCAAAAGTTACAATTTACAAAATTTCCCAGTTTTTAAAGAGCCACTAACTTTTTATATCAATATTTTGGTATTTGATAAGGATTAGGTAACTAAATTTGATTTATGATTTGAAATAAATAGCGTTAAATATGAACTAATATTGATTCATATAAAAACAAATGTTTTGCACAAAAAGTGGTTTAGCTATGATAAAATTGGTAATCAAATACTATAACCATATGACTATACTAATCCACTTTAGAAGCCAATAACTTTTTTCTTTCTTCACGGACGTCAAAGACTCAGGAGGTGTCTCCCATTAGCCACGCAGGCCTCAACACAGCAAACTCTGACTAACTGGCTTGGATATCGGTTTAATTACTGTATCAGCCGCTTCTGTCTTTCAGTTCTCACAGGGCTTATCTTCCAACCTACTGGTACCCCACAATCCCGTACCTGGCTCAGCCATAGGAAGCTAATAACTAAAATACTACATCACTGACAGGTAGAAGAATGCATCCTGAATAAAATAACACTTCAGCAGTAGAGCATTGAATTTTTTTTTTTTGAATTTTCCCTCCACACAGTTTACTCCACTCGAGCAAGGAGCTCACTGTGCGGATAGGTCGCATTTTTATTACATGAAAATTACATGAAATAGCATACAATGTACAATCAGTTTCACGTCTTGATTCTTGTTTCTTCTTGTCTTTACTTTCTTGCCTTTAGACTTCAGTTTCCTTTCTTGAATCTGCTTTTCCGTCTTGATTCTTGTTACTTCCTGTTTCAATTTGTCTTTACTTTCCTTCTTTTTGTCTTTTCTTGCCTTTCAGTATCTTCAATGATTTTGCTTCTTTATTTTCTCTTGTAATTTTGCTTCTTCATTTTCTTTTTTTAATTTTGCTTCTTTATTTTCTCTTTTGATTTATCATTTCTTTATTGATTCCTATAGAGCAGGGGTCGGCAACCTTTTGAAGCTGAAGAGCCAAAAGTCACAATTTTCAAAATTTCCCTGGTTTTAAAGAGCCACTGACATTTTTTTATTTCAAATATTTTTTTTTTATTAAGATTATTAGTATTTGTTCAAGGAGCTGGAGAGCCGCATCTTGATATCGAAAGAGCCGCATGCGGCTCGCGAGCCGCAGGTTGCCGACCCCTGCTATAGTGCTTTGAGTATAGGTTCAATGGTGTCGTGACGGAACATCCTACCTAAGATTGCTCCTAGGTAGGCGTCGTCTAGCTGAAAAGAATTGATTATTAGCCACTCGTACATTGAAGCCACCATAGTACAAGTACTAGGTGGCTCTTCTCGAGAGCTATGTGCAATCGAGGGATGTGTGGGCGCAACACCACACGATCTTTTGCATTCGATGCCTCGATGACCAACTTCTCAGCCCCGGCAGCCAGCCCTAAAAAGGGCTAGCCGACCAAATGACTAAGATTTATGTAGATCCATAACAGATACTACACTATGATCTTAGCCAAAAGGCCGAGAAGCGATAGAGCATTGAATTATTGCCCCGTGACTGGCTAAAGCACAACTGTGGGGCTGTGCCTGGTACCCAAGCGGCTCTCAACTGTCCATTTTTTTCTACTTCACCTATTCTCACTGTTCTCTGATCAGTGTTTTAATCCTGTTTAAAGTTGTTTTTCTTTACATTACAGTATAATTTATTTTTTTTAGTTTTGAAAATGAAATTATGTAATTATTAATATTTGTGCATGTAACTCTAGAGCTGCCCCTTGACATCAAAAGATCTAACCCCTGGTGTACAGCATTGTATTAAAGTTATTTCCCCTTCTTAATTTTATTTTAAAATCACAAAATTTGTTTACTTGTTCAGAGAAAAGAACATTGAAGCACATTAGAATTTAAAAAAAAAAAAGAATAACAGGAGAGTAAAATAGAACAGATTAGAATAGTGTAGAATAACATTCACTTAGCATATAACTGAATATTATTCTATTCTGTTTTAATAGCAAAAAAATAAAACATTTTCATTTGATGTGCTCTCTATGCCTAACATTTCCTTTTTACTTTTTTATACTGAGTATAGAGAAAGTATTGTAATTGTGCAAAAAAAGTAAATGAAATTTTGACAGTTTTGCCATTTTACACCTCCCTGCTTTATCATATACGGAATATTATATTTAAAAAAAAAACTAGTTTTGCAATCTTAGCTGTCTGTTGGTCTGTGTGAATGTAAACACAATAACTTGAGTACCGTTTCAGCTAAGTTGAAGAAACTGCATTTGTATATGTTATATCAAATTTGTACTGTAGTTTGTAATACTTTGTGCTCTTCTTGATTTTTCAAAAAAAAAAAAAACACCATAAAAATTTATTTATCATCAGCCATGGGCGGAAAATTGAAAGTAACATTTTGAACACTTCTACTGAACTGATTTATTTCAGATTTTTCAAGTAGTGCAAGACTTGAAATTAATGAATTGTGACATAAAATGTTACTTAATAAGATGTTTGATTAACTTTTTAAAAATTAATCAAGGTTTCTTTCATAAAGTACAAAATTTCCACTTTATTGTTTGCATTAATTTAGTTTGTAATTATTCACTCTATTAAAAATAAATATATTATTAACAAATTATAAAAGCATATCTACAGCCAGATTGATCTTGAAGTGCCACCTCCTTAATGTTATAAAATATTATCCCAGAAAGTTTAGGCGAGATCATTCCCACCTTATTTTAATTACATTTTTTTTCACATGTTTAGTCTTTAACTTTATGGGGTAGGATAGTAGAGTGCACAATTGGTAAACTAAAACTCTTGATGGGTGGGTACCTGACACGGTTAGTGTAAGTAAAGGCGGCTGGGGCATAGCGCTAACATATGCCAAGTTCACAAAATAGGTGAACTCTACAACTCACTTGACAGTACATCTTGAGGATTTAGATTATTTTCAGATGTGTAACAACTGTTGATTAATTTGACAAATCCCTGCTAATCTTATAGAGAATTGCTTACACATTTAAAGACACAGATTTGATAAAAATTATAATGAAATCATACATCTATTAATCTTTTATTATAATAACATATTTATACTAACAAATGCATTTGAAAATACATGGTCATAAAATAATAAACGAAATGTAAAATAAATGGTTGACAGAAATTTGCTAGCTATTTTTATAAAATTATAAAATGAATAGATTGTGCTATTCTGTATAAATATCTAACTAGGACCACAATTATTTTTTAAGCTGTTGCTGTTTAGTGTATAAGTATACATAAATAATTTTGTTCACTTCATCTAAATGTTTTAATTCAAATAATTTTTTAAAAAAATAATTCTTCACTATGACCACTATTTATAATTATTATCATAAAAATCTACTATCACAGAATTTGACATTGCATATTAAGTATAGCAGCAGTAATACCTTATTCTAGTGGATTAAATATTGTACAAGTGTCTTGGCTATTTCATGTTTGATGTATCATTAGTTGCAGAAGAACTCACAAACAATTCATCTGATATCTTCCTTTTTTTAAATTGTTGATTACTGATTTTACTACTAACGTAAAAACTTGATTCATCTGGCCTATCTATGTTAATGTTTGATTTTTTTGCCTCTGTAATATCATTAGGACTTTTTATAGTTGCTCTCCAAAGTATTGGAGAGTCATGGCTATCAGAATCTTCATTTGAAGAAAGTGAAGAAATGATGATAACTTCCTCATTACAAGGTGTACTTTTAGCTGAAACATGTTCACTGCATTCAGAGTTAGTTTCTGCATCTTGAATATTTTCATTATCCTTAATGAACCTAATATTTTTTACAACAGCTTTTGATTTGCCAAATAACCAAGAATTGTTTTTTATAGAATCTTGAGAATTTGGAATAAAATCTTCCTCATTTTCTTCATCTGCATCACAATCATTTTTATCTGAAATTATCAGCGCACTGTGTACACAATCTTTAGGAGATTTATTATTTAATTCAAACTCAGTTTGCTGTGGAACTGTTGAAAAAGATCTACAATGGGTACCCACTACTCCTTTTTTATTGGTACTTGTCATAGTAATATGAGAATCTGTTTCCAAACCTTGAAGCTTTACAGAACTTGCTTCTGTATTGTACTGTGTTGTAGACATGTTCAAGTTCTCATCATCTGATTCATATTTGATTTCATCCTCAGAATCACCACTGATGTAACATAACATAGAATTTTCTCCTTCACTTCCAATGGAAGTATTGTCTATCAAATCATCACTACACAGTTCTTGGTCATTTCCTGTTTCTTTAGCACATGAAACAGTATTTCCCAATGATTCCTCTAACACAACTGGAGTATTTAGTCGACTTTTATTATTTGTCTGAGCTTCTTTCTCTGGGCTACTAAATACCAATTCATCAGAATTTACTGTGAAAATAAAAAAAAAGTATTTATCCATATTTATGATTATAGAAGTTATGAATAATTTTTTTTAAGACTATTTTTGTTGTTATAAATTATAATACTTGCAACAAATTAATGACTTACAGTTTTCTTTTGCACTGTTAACACGATTTAGTGGAAGCTTTCTGAGAGTGCCTAATGGCTTGTTATAGTCTGCAGTCTCTGACTTCACTCTCCATTTATTCTGGTAGTCCAAGAAGCTTGTTAATCTGGCTTGTACCTTGAGGTAAAAAAATTTAAAATATTTATGAAATTTTAGAATAACATACTTGTGTAGATGCTGTTAAAACACACTATGGAGCAGGTTGTAAAATATTTTTTTTAAACATTTACTAAGATACTTATATTTGATTTTATCCATGTTTAATTAAGTAAAATTAAATGAAAATGGTGGAAAATTATACTTTAAACAAAACATTATTCTTATTGAATGAAGTTTTCATCATTTGAGTAAAATTTTAAAATAGATTCAATTTACTATTTACTACTTTTCTCACACTAAATGTGCTAAACGTTATGTTGATCTTAAGGTCCAAATAAATATTTTTAAAATATATAAGTTTGAATCATGAGCTTTTGTCATTACAACTTTCCTAAGTCTACCAAGCTCTGATGGGTACCTGACTAACAATACCAGATGGACTGTCAGGTTTGAAAGGGTACCTTACTTATCTACTTAGGGTATTGCATTTTTAAAAACTTTATTTGGTCACTTGTTTGTCTGGCTGGGATTTACGTCAGCTATGAGAGCCTTAAACCCTTTGAGCTCATTGCTTTCTCTCTGATCTTAATAGTTACCCATTTTTAGCTTTCTTTACATTCAGAAAATGATAAAGTACAAATGAACAGAAATAAAACTTACGGAATGAAAACTTGTTTCAGACATTGGTAACACATTAGGCACAGCACACTTTGGTAGTAAATAGCTTACCAAATCTCGAATTTCACTGAAACATTTTACCCAAAACTGATGCAGTATAAAATTTCGTTGATGCTAGCCTCATGTTTTGTTTTAAATCAATAACAGTAACATTTAAAATGCAATAGATGTAATTAAGGCACAAAATGTAAAATAAATTGCTTATTGTTTGACATGAATGTTTTATTATTTTACTTTTGATGAATTTTTCTAAGACTAATTGCAAGATATGCTGGTGAAATAGTACAATGTAAGCTAAAACTAAATGAACACTACTTTTCAATGCATGTTGATTACCTATAAGATGAATGCATGGAGTAACAAACACGGTGCAAGCCACGACTAGATGCCGGAGTTACTATGAGATCCTCTGTTCTAGACTTTGTATTATGACTTGTAAACCACATTGTTGATGGCCGGATATTCAACACTTTAAATTTCCCACCATCTGATGGTAAGTGATGGCATGGAAGTGAGGTAGATGATGGAAAACCACTCTATTTTTTTTTTTTAAATAATAAAAAACAATATGATTATGGCTTATCTATTTTGTTGTACAACAAACAAAATGTATCTAGGCATTTTAAAATCTCAGATGTAGTACACTAATATTTCATTTTGAAATGGACAGGCTAAATGTCCAGGATAGCACTTGTGAGGGCCCCACAGAATAGCTCTAGTGAGGGCCCCACAGAATAGCGCTTGTGAGGGCCCCACAGAATAGCACTTGTGAGGGCCCCACAGAATAGCGCTTGTGAGGACCCCACAGAATAGCGCTTGTGAGGGCCCCACAGAATAGCACTTGTGAGGACCCCACAGAATAGCGCTTGTGAAGACCCCACAGAATAGCACTTTAAAATTTACAGACCACCAATTAGTATAAATTATCTAATGTACTTGAACAAATTATAATTTCACATTTTCGAGAATTTCTAAAAACCAGTACCTTAGAAGAACAGGCATGTATTCTTGTCACAGTTGGATCAGATGAAAAAAAGCCTTTTAGTTCAGGAATTTGGTCATATATACTAAGCTTCCATTTTGAAACATGGATCTGTATTATAAAGATAAGCAAATAAGTTTTCACCTTCCCACATAAACACTCAACTTTGAAAGCTTTAAAACGTAATCAACGATGCAGAGGACCAACCTTAGTATCTATTCTCTGAGCAAGTTCCATTAATAAATATTCATGACCATATTTGGCTGGACAAGAAATGTTAACAACATGAAGGTGTGAATGTTGTAGCCAATCAGATGCTAACTTCACAGTTGCTTCCAAACATTCACTCCGACTTGGAATGTGATATGCTTCAGGAACACAAAATGTAGTATCCACATAGACTGTATTAATTTCTTTGATGCTGTATATATATTGAAATCAGTAATAGTTGAACAAACCGAATGTGTTATCTAATGCTAGAATATTTATAAATGAAAACTATTAATAATTTTAAAAAAGCATACTCTTTAAAAATATTTAAAAATAACGTTTGATTTTGAAAAGAAAAATGAAATTAGCTTTACTTATTTCCACATTTAAAGGAATCCATTTTTGCTGCCTGGCCAATTTCCCAGCGAAAATCACCAGTATAAAGAGATGTTCCTTCATTGCCTTCAAATAAAAACCTAAAACAAATTTGTAAACATTGGTATCTGGTTTTCACAAAAAGTGTGCTTAATATTTTAAGAAAAGCCAAGCATTAACTTTAAGCTAAATTATTCATATCCATAGATACATAGTGTTTAGACCTATTAAACTAAAAAATTGCACAATATTGGTGCAAATCTACAAATCTTTATTTTAACTGTAGAGTAAAAAGAAAATTTCCAAGCATTTCCAAGATTTCCTACCATTTTGTGTCAAGCTAAAACTAATAACTAGTGTATGACAACATAAAGTCATAATGACATTGTTTTTAATAATCAATAATTATTACAAATTCTAAATTGCAAGCGGCATCTTACATAACAGACCCAGGACAATGCCCAGCAGATATAAGTGTCACATCCACATTGTGTTCTTCGTCCTGAGAGTACAATTCAAATAGTTACAATCTTTTAAAGAACAAAACATACATTTAATTCATTTTTTGCTTGAAGGTATGTGGAATGCTTTCTTAGCAACATGCACATAATCAAACAATGATTTAATTCATTTTTTGCTTGAAGGAATGTGGAATGCTTTCTTAGCAACATGCACATAAACAAATGGTATAATTTTAATGGTCAATTAATAATCAAAATCACACCTGCTGTGACTAAGTAATATTAAATTTAAACTGCATAAAAATGTAATTGATGAAAGCATGCTAAAAACAAATATAAAATACTGTATTTATTAATGTCTAATAGACTAGTAAATTGCTGATTCTTTTCATAAAATTGTTTGTTATTACTAACTTATTACACAGAGATGAGATACATTTATGTAGACATCTCTAACTGATAAGATTCTAACATATTATTTACTAGCAGTCACCAAGTGACTTATACATAATAAATACAGTATATCAGGAGAAACTGATGCTAATAATGCTGAGATCACAATTCATTAAGTTGAACACAATGCTTCAACTTTAAAAAAAATGTTTCATTTATTCTCTTTTAGTAGATAAAGATGATTTAATAAATTGTGCCTTTATTAATATTTTAGGCATTTTTTGTAATAGCAACAGATGTGATATTAGTATGTATAGCACCAGCGTAGTATATAATCAACAGTAAATAAATAAATAAGAAATTTCACTTCAAAAGCCCTCTTGTGGACTGCTCCTGTTTTTAAAAAAAAAACAAGTAAGAACAAACTTAATGCTATTAAAAGCTACTAAGGTTTATTTCCCTCCTTACATACATTATGTATTTGATTTTTATCGATCTTTTTGCTATATAAATATAACCCTCTTGGACTATCATAAATTTAGTTATCCATTCCCTTTTTCACTAATATGCTCAGAATGAATCCCTTTTTCATAACAATAAATTTAGCATTCAGTTTCTCATTCACTACACTTCTTTTAAAGTTGTAATTTTAATCTTACCTTGTCACCTGATCTTCCTGGAATTTTGATTTGATGCTTCACTCCAACTTCCAATATGTGCTGTAAAATACAGTAGTGATACAAGAGAGATGTGTCAACATTATGAGAGATGTGTCAACATTATGAGAGATGTGTCAACATTATGAGAGATGTGTCAACATTATGAGAGATGTGTCAACATTATGAGAGATGTGTCTATATATATATACTATCTATCTTTTTAAAGTTATTACATACACTTTAAAGTTTTTGTTTTCTTTTAAAAATTTATATTAACTTTGGTGACATGTGACTGTAGTGTAATAATTGTAAGAGATGTGGCAACAATTTTTTTGTAATAGTCCTTTGGTGAATTTTAATTTGATGATAAAACATAAGTGAACTTAGAGCAGTCTGATTCTGGGGAAGCTATATGTCATCAAAGAAAGATTAGTATTTTTATTCATAAAGATGTGCTTTTATTTTGCTTAACATAAAGAATAATGTTACTTACAATAAAATCTTTTAATCCCTTGTATTCCGACTCTGCCAATAGTAACATGCAAGTAATTTCCGAACAATATAATTTAATATCGTTCCTACAATTTGAAAAAAAGAATGAATCTCTATAAATTTTTCAAGCATTTAATTACAAAACTGTAAAAATGTGCATGATCAAAGTATCAAAAGTAGTATGAATGTGCTAGCCAACATAATAGAATCCACCCATCATTCCCTTGGCTTGCTACTTTCTTACATTCATATTTCTCTTCTGCTTTCTTCTTCCGTCCAGGCTGTTGCAGGTCTCCATTCATCTATTCATCCAATCATAGGACTGCATTTTCATCATTTCTCTTTCAGGTCATACACCAACTCCACCTCTATTTTTCTACATGCCTAGGCCTGAACATCCACAGAAGCAAAAGTAAAGTTGTCCAAGTCAATGGATCAAGCAGCTCCCATTTAACATTAGCAGACCCTAAAAGAAGTGGATAGATTCACCTATCTTATAAGAATTGTTGATAAGCAGGGTGGGACAGAAACAGACATAAAAATAAGGATAGAGGACGGACAAGGCAAGAACTGCTTTCAGTCAACTAAAAAATGTTTGGGGTTCTGGAGATTTAACTCTGGGAAGAAAAATCTGGGTCTTCAACAAATTAGTAAAACCTATTTTACTCTATGGAGCTGAGACATGGAGAATAACGGCCACAAAGAAGAAGAAAATACAATCATTTATACCGAGAAAGATTCTTTCAATCCACTGGCCTAACAACATCAGAAATGAGGTACTTCTGACAAACCACTGCCAGGTGTAACAAGACAGGCCTTCACCTGCGATCCACAGGGCAAAAGTGGCTGATCAAGGAAGACCTGGAGATGTGATCTGGAAGAAGACACCAAGAAGATTGGATACACCTGAGGACAGTTGAAGAGACTAGCCCAGGGCAGAGATGCCTGGAAAGCTCTTGTCAGTGGCCTATCTTCCACAAGGGCAACTGGCTAACCTTACCTAACCATGCAAGATATTGTATTCGTTGGTTGTTCACTCTATATTCTTCATGCTCTTCTGTGCTTTTTCTAAGTTTCTTCCCAATAATTTTCATGTCTTTTACAATTTCTCTGTGCCAGCTGTTTTTTGGGTCCTTTATTTTCATCCTTGTGGATTCCATGAAATGTCTTGTCTGGTAATACTAATTGCAGGTTTCCTAAATCAATGGTCTGTCCATCTTCACCAATTTTCAAAATTTCCTACTCCAATGAGATATATCCAGTCCTTTTCAATACTGCTGTGTTAGTACTTTTATAAATAATATTTGCTATAGGCAGCTATTTATAAATGAGTTCTAGTCCCTTATTGTTGAATGCGAACTTCCAGCGCCTTTACAACAAAAATATATTTTGTATGAGTTAAAAAATTTTGGTCCACACCTCTGTACTCACTCTGTACTTTTATTTTACTTTTTGTCTAGTTTACTATCATATGTATTATTAATCTTTTAAAATTTTGTTAGGCATTCCAAAGTCCTGTAGAGTTTCATTGTGATGCTGGTGTGTGCCATTTTTTAACTGACAGAGAGTGGGTGTGACAGGATGTTATATTTTAAACAAAAATAATGACTAGCAAGTATACTGAAAATTTAACCAACATAGAAAATTAGAAAAATTATTTACCTTAACTTCATTCGTTCTATCAACCAAATACTATTTAAGCCAACCATATGATCTGAAAAATAAATACCAAAAATTGAAACACACTATTCTTTCATTTTTTCATTCTTAAGTAAAATTTTGGATGAGATTTCCAAACTTTTCTTTCTTCATTCTAAAGTATAATTTTGGATGAAATTTCCAAACTTTTATTTCTTCATTGTAAAGTATAATTTTGGATGAGATTTCCAAACTTTCATTTCTTCATTGTAAAGTATAATTTTGGATGAGATTTCCAAACTTTCATTTCTTCATTTTAAAGTATAATTTTGGATGAGATTTACAAACTTTTATTTATTCATTCTAAAGTATAATTTTGGATGAGATTTCCACACTTTTCTTTTATTTTTTCATTCTACAGTATAATTTCGGACGAGATTCCAACCAGCTTTTCTATCTGGATTTGCTTCCATTGATAGCCATTGTCTAACTAATAACAAATTATATTGCTTTTAGAGTTTTCTCTCCTATATGGGCTGCTGTCCCCAGCTATCAAGCCTAATCTGCCCTGGGGTTCGAACTCAGGATTTTTGAGTTTAGCAAACATGAGCTTTACCAGCCAGACCATGCTGCTAGCCCCTTACACACTTTTGAATGTAAAAATGAAAAAATGAAAAACACGTTAACAGAGACATGCAAGCAATCTGTCAGCAAAGTGATTGTGCTTGCTTATGTTAGTCCGTTTCTTGTCAGTAAATAAACCCTTAAGGGTCATCCATTTATAACATCCACAAAAATTAAATATTACTCCCCTTGTCCGCTTTCGTGCACCCCCCCCCCCCAACCCCATTGTGGACATCCACAAAAATTTAGTAGATCTTGCAAAACTAAAACTATTTACTATTTCAATAACATGTATTGTGTACCTAATAACTGATATACAGCTTTAGTAGTTTCGATAATCTATATATATATATATAACTCCCTATGTGGGGACCATGTGAGACACCACCAAGATGTAAGCTCAACAGACCATATCTCTTCCACCCCCACCAGTCTGGTGAGCTGTTTACAATCGTAGTGACGGCTATTAGGGGCAGATAATTTAGTTTTTAAACTATTTGAAATTAAGGGGAGGTAATAACATGTTCTGCTTGCTCCTTTCATTTTCATCTGTAAAATGTCGTCACAGACAGCTACTTTCACTGAGACCGGGGGGGGGGGGGGGGGGGGGGGGGGGAGTGAGGGTGTGGATAATTGTCCTTCACTATAGTTTTAAAGCAAAATATTTTCAGTCACTGCATTGGTAGTGTCCAATTCACATAGTATGAAAAATAGGAAATAAAACAACTAAATAGCGGCGTATGCCACGTCGCGGGTCAGCTCGTGTTTATTATTAGGCCTAAATATCAAAAGTAGAATCTAGAGGTGTATTTACTTAACACAAGTAATGTCCTCTTAATTTCACTATTTACATGCAGGACACAAATTTGTGTTTGTTTCAAAATGTTAGTACTTTGTTTGACATAAAGTTCAATCACTAGTGTTTAGTGGACTAATAAATGAAACTATCAATCAATTTTATATAAGATATCTAAAATCCCACAAAGTAAATTGAATTTACCTTTATGACAGTGTGACAGAAAAAATGCTGTGCATTTAAGGTTTTTACCATCAAATCTATCAATAGCTATATTTTTGTACTCTGACATCTGTCCATTGAAGCAGCTCATTCTGCAATCTAAAGATACCATACAAACATACCAATTACTACAATAATAGACACAGACAGTTAATAGTAATACCTATATCTAGAATATATATGGTAATCTATCGCTTTAGGTTCGTAAAATCGGCAGCGGCTAGTAATGTACCAAAAAGTTACCTCATTGTCAAGGCTTTAATAGAAGTATATACTATATTGTGAAATATTTGTGTCAAATATTATAGATAACTGAATAATAAACCAAAATCAATGGCTAAATATATCAATATAGGTTAGAAATTAACTTTAAACAGCAGTGTTTGCTAGAAAGATTTGCTATATATTATATAAACAGCCATTTGTAAAATAGAGTAGCTTCCCCTGAATCTCCCGTTATAAGTTTAACAAAATAAAACTTAAACAAGATGGCTACCATAGTAATTTAGTAAATGAGCATGGTTGCATCTGATGAAAACATCGCTAGTCTTCATTTATTACTGAAAAGTTTTAGTTCAATTGTTTAAAAACAGTTACATAAATGAAACAAGGACACATTTTTGTATTTTTCAAAACATAAATCCTCATCATAATGTGAAATAATTATTAAAATTTAAGGAGTCACCTGTTTTTCACATTACTAGTCACGGCGATTTTAGTAGTGTGATAGATTACCTATATTTAATTTATTTATATTATATGTAAAAATATAATCTCCACCTTCAGTGTGAGCTAGATCTAGATCTTAGATCTAGTTGATAGATTGAAAGATTCTATTTATTCTAGATCTAGACTCGAGATCTAGATTCTATATCTAAATCTAGTTTTAGAGTTAAGGAATAGGGACCTAAGTATTTTTAGATCTAGATCTAGTATTTACTATTTATTTAATGTTTAAGTTCGATCTAGAGTGAGTCTAGTGGTAGTAGATCTAGAGCCTAGCCCTAGAAGTAATCTATCGCGGCTAGAAATGTATGAAAAAGTTACCTCATTGTCAAGGCTTTAATAGAAGTAGATATAGATCTATATTGAATATTGTGATATATTTGTGTCAAACATTATAGATAAATGTCAAATGAATAATAAACCTAAATCAATGGCTAAATATATCAGTATAGGCAAGAAATTAACTTTAAGTTTAAACAGCAGTGTTTGCGAGCAGGATTTGCTATATATAAAAATCGGTCGCCTGTAAGTTAGAGTGGCTTCCCCTGAATCTTGCGCAAAAAAAAATAAAAAATTACTTAAACAAGATGGTAAATGTACTAAATGCCAAATGGGCATGGTTGTATCTGTTGGAAACATCGCTAGTCTTCATTTATTACTGAAAAGGTTTAATTCAATTGTTTAAAAATAGGTACATATATGAAACAAGGAAACATTTTAGTATTTTTCAAAACATAATTCCTCCTCAAATTGTGAAATAATTATTAAAATTTAAGGCGTCAACTGTTTTTCACATTACTAGTCGCGGGCGATTTTACGTACCTAAAACGATAGATTACCGATCTAGATTCTGGTACTAGAATAGTGACTGAGTAGTGACACTAGATCTAATCTAGATTAGATCTAGATTTATACTCACTATATTAAGTTAAGTCTAGATTTTCTAGATTCTAGTGTAGTTTTTGTTCTTTTTTTTTCAAAATATTAATAATTAATAAGTTAAAGCTCAAAATATTAAATTTGCCAATATTTACTTCCGGTGATTGATTGTGAACCCTGAACCAGAGCGAAGGTCAAAAGCTAGGCCCTACACATTTATCACATTTTCAAGCTAAAGAAAACGCCGAGTTCCTTGATTCCTAGATCTAGGTCTAGAGTCTAGAATAGATATCGACTAGATCTAGATCTATATTTTCACAATAAATATGTCGACGATTGGATCCTTAAAAGTATTAACTTTCTTTCGGATGTCTTAAGATAGATATTGTGATATTTAGATAATAATTAATTCGGGTAGGAAAACCTTAGTCGTCCTTAGTGCCTTAGTACCTTATTGAAGTGCCTTGGTTTCCGATGTCCGATGTATGTTCTTAAGAAAATATTATTAAGAGTAGCTTCCCTTTCATTTCTATTCGTATGAATTTTAATAGATCTAGTATGAAAATGTATTTAAATATTCTGCCCTTTAAAAACTGAATTTACTAACAACATCATCAATTTTTTTAGAAATATTGTGAGATGCAACTTGTATTCATGTATTTTGTATAAAATCAACTTTTTGTATAAGTATAGGACCAGTCTACTCTACAGTTTGAGTTTTTTCACTTATTGTTTGGATGTTCCCTAGGCCTATTTACTAGATCTATTTTCATTTCAGGTTTTTCTTAATTAATGGAAGCAACCGAGTAAAGTCCTAAAGGTATTCGAGAGATCCATTCAATATTTTAAAATCATACACGGCTTACTCGGCGTAGTTAAAATTAATATGGTTATAAAATCATGTCTGTTTGGTTAGACATTTTATTGAACACATTGTAAGCGGAAAAATTAAGGAAAACTAGGTCATGTGGTTTAAATTCGCATTGCTATTTAAAAACTTGTTCTGCAAAGTTTTGTAAACACATAAATATCAATCACGGAGTTCCTGTATAGCCAATCAATGTTTGTCTTACGAAAGTGAAACGTCGGATTATAACTTAGGCTTGATGAAAATAAATAGAAATGTAGCCTTAAACTCAACAAATTATTTTCCAGTTCTCTGGTTTTGCAACTTTTATAACATTGATTCTAAAAATATAAAATTTCTGAATTATTTTTAGGCAGGGATATGCGCTTTTTTTTCTTCTATTTTTTACAATTTAAATCTAAAGCCTTTAGAATATGTTTATTATGTTTGGCACATGAAAGTAAGTATCAAACAGCAAAAAAAAGTCCAAATAATTTTGGTTGTCATGGAAACCCAAAAAAACCTCAGCCATTTTGAATTTTTCGGTGCTTTTAAAAATGCTACAGCTTTTTTATTTATGCACCTATAGCAATCAAATTTAAACTGCTTATATTTTAGTATATATTATAACTTTTGTTCAACTAATAGGTACTAGTAAGAATTTTACAAGGTCTAAAAAATTGTACCCTTTGTAGTATTCAAAAGTTTCAAAATTTACATATTAAGTACCAAATACTTTTTTCTATTAAAGCCATCACAATTCCCTCGTGACAAAAGTTTTATTTTTGCATGAAGAACAATTACTGAAAATATGGTGGGCATTGTTTAACAAATAAAATAAACCGGGAGTGATCTCCCCTAAACTTTCTCGAATATTCTTATATAAAATAACAGGGGATGGGAACTCGGGCTATAGACATGATTTTTAATCCATTTTAAATACTTAAAGTTTTAAAAATAGAATAAAATCTCGTAGACAAATTAATTGCACACCAAGTGAACGCGAATAAAAAAAGCGCATAATAGTGCGCAATATTATTAGTACTTTTAAAATTTACATTAGTTTTTTGAGAAATCGGAAGTAGCGTGAATAAGTACTTCCGGTCAACGAAAAATTCTCAAAATTTGACAGAAGGTAGAGAATTAGATCTTTTACTTGCATATCAAATTTCATTTATCTATCTGAAATAGTACTCAAGTTATAGGCTTTTGAAAAATTCAAAGTAGAAAAAGTACCACTTCCGGTTATCCGAAATCGCTCAAAAGTTGATACGGATCTACGATTTTGATAAAATACTTGTATATGAAATTTCATCAACCTAGCTGTAACGGTACTCAAGTTATCGTGTTTACACACGGACACACAGACATACGGACAAGATTGCAAAATTATGTTTTTCCGTATCAGTGAGATGTAAAACGTCGAGATTTGCAAAAATCTCGATTTTTTTTTTTTTGCACGATTACAAGACTTTCTCTATACTTCGTATATACGAGAAAGTAAAAAGTAGTAGGCTTTTTAGAGTTAAAAACCTGCAAACTGAGAAAAACAGCCAAAAGTAACGAAAAGTAGGTCACGAAAATACCATATCTGTGTAAACTGTCAAGCCGATTGTAAGCTTTGGGTGTATCCGAGATGATGGAAATTAAGATAATCAAATAAATGAGAAATCCAGCTTTCCAATGATGCCAAATACAATATGATGACGGATATAAAACTTTTCATAGAGAGCTTGCAAGATTGGGAAAAATTATTTTTTAATTAATAGGGTCATATAAAATGGTAATTTAAACACATAAAAAAATTTTCTCTTTAAAGTTATTATTTTCTTAATAAAAAAATGGACAAAGTATCCAAAAGTGCAAGAAACCCATCATGACGAAAAACAAGAAATTTTGTGATTTTTTTTTTACAGCGCATATCCCCTTAAGTTTTAATTTATATTATTTTCTGCAAAATCTAAAAAAAAAACATATTTTTAATCCATGTCAACAATATGACAGAAGGATTCTTGTCAACTCGTTTACCTCCATTAGTGATTCTATCATAAATTATGAAGGTTTTTTTTTACTTCTCTTTACCTTAATTAAACCCCAACCTCCATCATATTTTTGTTGTCAATGTCCCAAAGTCATCATGTAAAATATTACGTTTTGCACTGCGTTTATCTAAGATCTCTAGCCATAATTTTGACAAAAATAAATGTTTTTATGATTTTTATATATAGAGAGACAAAATGTATTATCCAACAACTTCCCTCGTAAAACATAAAAAAATCAGCCTCTCCACCCCTTAAGTGCATGTTTTCAATATCCCAAGTCAATATCAAACACCCAAAAGAGTGATACGGGGCTGTCCATAAATGATGTCACATATGACTTGCTACGGGATTGAGTAAAGATTTGTGACGTCAACTCAAGCGTCTCCGAAATTTATGACATGTAGGTCAAATGAAAGGAGGTGAAAGGGGGAAAATACCTAGGTCATTGATGGAGAACTTGCTATGTTCAATCAAAATAACGATAAATAACCATTTGTATATGTATACCTTGCTCAAAACGGATGATCATAAATGTTGCAAGCCTGCTAGTTTTAGACGTTTGGCAAAACAGCCTCAACACCTTATCCCTGTCAAAAAGGCTTGCCACCAAATCCCTGCAGACAAATATGCAGCGTCAAATCGGGGGTGTTAGAAATACGGCCATCAGCATGGGGTCCGGCGAACCAAACAGGGCTGCATTAGAGCACCAGTAGGCTGTAGTGCTTTGTAAGATGCTGTAAATAATTCATATTCGCGAAACTAAGCACAAATTTAGTAATGTTCCATCTTTTGAGAACATTTTTTTTTCTTGGACTCAATTTGAAATATCATGTTGACTGTTTGGCCTAATTCACAGCTCTTAATTTTCGAATGTCTGTTTACATTTTGTACTATAAAATTTTTGCTAGCCATTGTTTGTTTGGCCATTACCACGTTAAAACCAAATTGCTTTTGCTTTTTTTAAAAATTGTGTTCAGGCCTAATTACCGAAAATAATAAAAGGTCTTATACATCCACTCTTTTTTAAAGTCTGAAAAAACCAAACACTCACAGTGTTAAAATCGCATTAATTTTAACTACACCATTCATGATTTTTCAAATATTTAATTAATGGGCATCTCGAATACATTAGACTGCCTTGCCTTAGAGACTTTCCTTACTTGGGTCCTTTGCTAGTATAAGTACTTTAGTTAACTGTAGTAGTGCAGTACTTACAGATCAGTAATCTATTGGTATAGGTATGTAAAATCTGCCTAGAGGCAAGGGAGGCGCCACGGGAGGGTGCGATTTTCCTCTATATAGGTATATAAAAATAATAAAAGTGAATTGCAGTGACACCGTTCATCCGATAGGCATGAAACTTTTGGGAGTTCATTATAAAACTCTAGTGAAGGGTTCTGTAAAAACTAATTTTTAATTTCGCAAGGGCGGCGCCACGGGAGGGTGCGATTTTTCTCTATGTACGGTATATAAAAATAAAAGACGATTGCGGGTCGACGCAATTTATCCCGGTGCGATAAAACTTTAGGGAGTTGATGAATACTCCCGAGAATGTTTCTGGGGTCGGAGGGGGGAATAGGGATGGGTGGGCGGGGAAATTTAATTTTGCATGGGCGGCCCCCCTGCAGGATGCGATTTGGCGCCCTGGTCTTTCCCGTGAGCGCTATGGTGACTACGTTCGGTCTAAACAGTATGATAGACAATGGATAGGATGGGGCGTTACAAGCGCTCACTAAATTGAATCAGACGTGTCCTCTGGCGCCCTGCTGGTAGGGTGCGATTAGGCTGCAAATAAAAATGTCTGTTTCGGCCCCCAAAGGCTCACATGGGCAGCTGAGGGCTATGTAATACGTTTTATTTTAATAATAAGAAATTAACCAAGGCTAGATTATTAACTGGGATGTTTCTTTTTGTCCGTAAAAAAATCCAAACAGTTTCGCCACTTTGTGAATGATGCAATTAGCATCTATTTTTAGATAATCCAATCAGAAATTGAGATCGAGCATCTAAGAATAGTAACGCTAACATATTACATCAGTCACATTGATGTTTAAAACACATCAAATAATGTTTTTACCTGTTATATAGCAAATCCTGTCCATTTGTGTCACTTTAGTGAATGACGCAATCTGCATCATTGATAACAGGATGCTATTTGGCATGATGGTGCCTGTTAGTTTTAAGGAGCCAGGGGGCGTACGCTGCACCTAATCGGTAGTGTAATATGTAGATTAAACCCTTCTAAAACATATCGTCGGACTTTCTTCTATTCCCGCGGCAACGTGCAGGGACAGGTACGCTAGTTTTACTTATAAATTGTACGCATGGTGGGAAATAGCTAGTTCTTTTAAAATTGCATTTAAGTTACTTTATCATCATAACAATTTCTTTGTATCAATAATAAATAGAACATTGTTGGCCTTGTCACTGGTGGAGCATCTGGTCTTGGTCGTGCCACAGTTGAGAGATTTATTAGAGAAGGAGCAAAGGTGGTGTTGTGTGACTTGCCTTCATCAAAGGGAGAAGAAGTATCAAAATCTCTAGGAAAAAACTGCATTTTTTCACCAACTGATGTAAGCTTTTTTTAAATAAACCTTAAATCTTTATATTATTCTGTTTGTCAAGTTTTAAATTCAATTCCCACTTTGTATTTACAAAATTGAGGGTGTCATGGTATAGTCTATAATAGTGCTAGATAGCTCACCTAAAAGTCACTGTTAGCAGACTCAGGTTTTTGGGGCATGTCCCTGCGTCCACTTGGCTCTACATTGAGGTAAAATCAACTGGGCTGTATGCAGATCCCCCCACCCCTTAGGATAATGTATATTGGCCATACAAAAAAGAACTATTATACTCTGCTCTAGACACTGTCATTATCTGAATTTACATATGTTTTGTCTTTTATATAGGTCACATCAGAACAAGATGTCACCAAAGCCATAGAACTAGCAAAAAATACATTTGGCAGGCTTGATACAGCAGTTAACTGCGCAGGAATTGGAGTTGCATTCAAGACCTACAATTTTAATAAGAAAAGGGCTCATGAGTTGGCTGATTTTCAAAAAGTTTTAATGGTAATTTTAGCCTTAATAGATTTAATTTCTAAAATAATTGCATGAAATAGTTTTATTTTACAAGGGTTGTTATTTTGTCATGTTTCTGTTTGTTTGGACATTATAAACCTTGGAGTTTTCTTTTTTAATTTTGATCTTGTCAAAGGCAAGAACTGTGTTTTGGGGTTTTATACTTTAGCAGCTTATGTGGATTTAATCCTAAAAAATCAGTAAACTAAAAACGTTATAGCTTTGTCAGACTTAATGGCAATACCAGTGTTTATTAAAAAATATTTTAGCCATTATTAATTTTAAATACTTGTTGGCTAACTCAGGTAAATACTTGCGGAACATTCAATGTGATAAGATTGGCAGTAGGATTGATTGGAGAAAATGAACCAAATAAAGATGGTCAGCGTGGAGTTATAGTGAACACCGCAAGTGTGGCTGCTTTTGATGGTCAGATGGGTCAAGCTGCTTATTCAGCCAGTAAAGCTGCCATTGTTGGAATGACATTACCCATTGCTAGAGATTTAGCTTCTCAGGGGATACGAGTTGTGACTATTGCACCAGGTAAGTTTCATTTTGTTGGTTTCATTTTTTTTCATGCATCATGGGTACATTTACCAAACTTATCCATTCTGGATTGTGAAGAAAATATAATGCAACTTTAAGCATAATAAAGAATGAGTGATCTCCCCTAAAATTTCTCGTATATTACACATTTTTTAAATAGACTAGAATCACATTAAAAAAACAACTGCGTACCTAATGACCGTAAAAAAGTATGTATAATAGAGTTGAAAATTTGTGCTTTATAAGAAAATATTGATTAATTTTCCTAAAGTAAATTTAGCATCTTATTCAGCCAAATTAAATGTCACAATACACTGTCTCTGCCACCCCATAGACATGTCTGAAAGAAACTGGCCCCCGAACTGAAATTTGATAGTTAATGCGGCCCTCGAGCAGAAAAGTTTGGAGACCCCTGTATTAGGCTTAAAGCATAAATAGCAATGTAGCTTAGCTACTATCATGATGGTTATAATTATATGTGGCTCAAATGTTTTTTAAAGCAATAATTCCTAAACACTATTTAAAATAAATAGTAGACCCCTTCTAATTTCAGCTAATCTGGTCTAGATCTGTTTCATTTTTCACCACATGAAATTAACTTTCAGGCTGACTTTTTAAAAAGATTTTTGATACTATGTCCTACTTTAAGAATTTAAGACATAATCATTTAATTGATAAAAAAGAGTGCTGCTGGATCATTTCATTTAAATTAGTTTAACCCTTTGAACCCAAGGTACAGCTTTTCTGTACTTGTCTTAGATCTCTATGCCCCAAGGTACTGATAAAGCGGTATTAGACACCTTACCTCTGATCTACTGCTCGTAAATAAAAATGTGATATTTAAAAAGTACGTTCTATTCAACGGGATCCTGACAAAAGGATTACACGGACAAAAAGCCGACAGGAAAATAGGACGACATTAAAACTGACAGACCATAAAGCCGAAAAATTTTCAATAAAAATTTATGAAAGAAAATATTTACAAATCCAAGTGCACAAAGCTTAATCTGCTCTATAAATTTGGATTGATCTAAAAAAAAAATGGTGCCCCCAGGTGCACTTCATTTGGTTTCTTTCATTTCTCCCCGAAATATGGTGCTGTTGCCAACTACCTGTTTATACCTTATACACTGCGTTTTTAGGATATTTTGTTTGTCTGCCTTTTGTCTAATAGTCTGTTGACCTTATCTCCAGTCGACCTTTTTTTATATCAGCCTTTTGTATGTTGGCCTTTTGTCATTCACCCCTATTCAACTCGATGTAAATTATTAATGTAATAAATTAATTGTGTTGTTATATTCGTAGTCTTCAATTTTTAACGAGTCTGTTGGGTGTACAATTACCTCAGGGACACTAGAATTTTTAGGGTTAGGAGTTAAGGGTTTATGTTGAAAAAAATTGATTTCCTCTTTTCTTAAATTGTAAAAATAAATTTAAAAATTGTTTATAAGGGAAATATTTGTAATTAGAAAGGACTGTTATTTTAAAGTATTAATAATCTTCTTTTATTTAAGATATTTGCTATATTCAAATATTAAAAAGTACAATAATGTCAAGAGACATCTTTTATTGCAATAAAACAGTCTTGACTCGGAAATAAATATATTTTATTCATGGTCTGGTCACATCCCTGATTTCTAGATTGTTCACGGCCTAAGGAACAGATTAACATGAGTGTCTGCACTAAGCATAAATGTAGCCATAAAAATATAGATTTTGTAATTTTAAAAATGTCCTGAAATTTGTGTTTAGTTTAACTCCTGCACTCTTTTTATGCATGGCTAGAACTCTGCTGCCTGCGTCAACATTGCAGATTGTGTTGTTTTTTTTTTTGTTAAACCTGTTTCTTTCTAAAAAAATTTGCTCAGCTAGCTCATCAAGTACATGAAAACCTGAAATAACTGCTAAAATTCCATTTATAACATTGCTTTTTAAATTGCAAGTTTGTTGTTGAATTCAGAACCCCCCTTTCCCCCCTCCCAAGGACATTTAGGGACAACCCTTTCTCTGATACTAAATATATTAATAAAAACAGTAATGTGATAGTTATCGGGGATTTTTTTGTTTGTTTCAGGTCTGTTTGACACACCACTCTTATCCATGCTACCTGATAAGGTTAGAAAATTTTTAGCAAGTACTATACCATTTCCAGCCCGACTTGGTAATCCAGATGAGTATGCACATATGGTTCAGAGTGCAATTGAAAATCCTCTACTGAATGGTGAGGTTATTAGATTGGATGGAGCATTGAGAATGATGCCTTAAGAACAATTAATATCTTGCATGTTACAGTAGAGTACACATTGTTATTCATTTTGGCATACAATTGGTTCATTTTAAAGAGATGTGCGTTTGGTGCCTAAAGATGCATTTCTTGAAATAAAACATTTTTAAAAAATCAATGGTTTATTGTTGCTTGTTTTTGTAGAGGCAAAAATTATCAAAACAAAAATATTTCTTACATAATAAGCTTTATTTTATACATTTAGTAGAGTAAATCATGCATTGAATAGAATTTATGGTGATATAACAAAAACAAAAGATTTTTCACACACAATCTTTGACTACCCAGCTGAACTAATGCACATAGCAGGCTACACTGCATTGATTGAATTGAAATGGGGGATAGTATGTATAAATATAAGATATGGAAACGAAGATAACATGACTAAGATAATGCTTTGTTAGTGCAAGTAATTTTTTTTTTGCTTACTTTTGCATGTCAAAGTTCAACCATCAGCATTCATTGGTTAAAATCTCACCTGTCCTTTATTAATACAAAACATGAGGTACTAAGGCCAATATAATACAAATACTGATTTAATTACTGTACTAAATATAAATATGTACCGTACACATGAATATGCATAAACTTTTCAAAATGATAATCCAAGAAACTAAACTGTATACGATAGCCATTCATAACAAAAACAATCACAGTAAGTAAATTCTTTAAAATGTTACCAGATGAGAATTTTTACACTTTCTAAATATTGAATTTTAAGAAAGTAAAATAATTTTGTATGATTCTTATTTCTGTAGCAATATTTTTTTTTAAATTTTAATACTGACTAAATGCAGTTTAGTAAACAGCTGACGACCAAATGTTAAATATATTTGTAAGTGTTTATGGTCTTTTAACGCGCACTCTAAATACCCTGAAGTCAAAACATTTAATAAATTGGATCAATAAACATTATGAAAGTCCACAGCTGTACCTACATTTATTCAGTAAATCATTAGTTGCAGTTTACCAGTACTCAAGAAAGTAAAATAAAAGAAGTAAAAAAAATTTAAATGAAGCATGTGCCAAAAGTCACTGTCACAGTAAGTACATTTGTATACATTCATTATTTAAAAAACTCACTTCACAAACACCTGAAGAAGTGGCTAAAGTAATCTGCCTATAATTATTTTTTTTATTATTATTAGTTTCAGTATCCTAGGCACATAGTAAACATGTCCAGAGATTATTGTTTTAACATTTTTTACCCCTGCAAAGTAATCTTTTACATACTTTTTCAATGTTTTAGTTATTGCTAAGTAAATTATGGTTCATTTTTATATCACAGATTGATTTTGACATACAAGTATTCAATTACAAATAAACTCTTGCCTGCTTAACTACCTTTAAAACTATGAATTGATATTACTTAAATAAGGAAATTTCATAATGTAAATCAAAATAGAATGTAACATTTATAAAGCTTATCTTTCTAGACACAAACATGCACCTGCTAGTTTCAATAGTTGGTGTTCTGGCAACAATTCATAAATTACCTCTCTATTTGTAAGAGAAACATAAGCTTAAAAATTAATTTTTAGTGTTAAATAATATATATTCTCTACCTAGTAGTACTGAGCATAGAGTAGTTTGCCTGTCACAAACATGCTTCTCAAAAACTAAACATTTTCTAGTTCAGAGCACCTTGTTTCATTATTGGACATTAAAATAAAAACTAAGTTTTAAATACTCTTGTGGGCAATGCATTCAAATTTGATCTCTAATAGATCACTAAAGATTCATCCTGGTCCTTAACACATTGCCTCTTGCTAACTCTAATTTATTGCCATTTTTGGGGATCTATAATTATATTTGCAATGTAAACACTTATCAGGGAAACACATTCAACACAATGGAAGTCCACTAACTCTTCTACAGTTAAGTCTTTGACTTACCACCAGCCATGGCTTGTGTAACACTGCACCTATAGATCCCCACCCTTAGGTTATCCTCCATGGTTTGATTCATTCTTGCTGACTGGGTCATAGTTCATTTTGTACAAATGTTCTCTGCTTTTGAATTCTTTCTCTCTTTCCATATCTTGCTCACTTCTTTTAGTTTGTTCTTTTACTTTTAAGCCCATGTTCTTTTCATTTCCATTTTTTTTTCAGAAGTGTTTGAAACTTATCTCCACTAACCCTTGGAATTGTCTGGACAGTTCTTGACTTTGCTTTCCTTTTCTCCTTTATTACAGATGTTTAGCAATTTGAAGATGTTTTCAGCAGTAGCTGTTACAGTTGTTGACTCCTCTCCATCTCAAATACTTTTTAATAGTAGCAAAGGGTCAAATTTTTAAAAATCCACTTAACTGGTCAGGAAATCCATTGGCTGGGTTGGATCCTAGCCTAGAGAAGAACTTGACCAGCAATGTTTTAGTTTGATCAGCATTGTTCAGGGATTTTTTGGTGTATGGGGAAATGACAACACGACTTTTGGCTTTCATTCATCAAAATAAACATTTTAGTGCATGATCCACTGTTAAGTTTTTTCACAAAAATCTCTCTGAACTAATTCCAAAAGCCATTTGGATAAATTGGTCTCCTCCTCACTGGTTGGGTTGGTTAGGACAATATTTTCCTTCAATTTTTCATGTAAATCTTTTGTTGGCCTGGACACAGACCAACTTTTAATGCGTTTGATAACCTTAACCTTTCTAAGTACCAAAATCATAGCTTTTTTTATAAAAAAAACATACAAAATGTGTTTGCGATGAGGCACATGTTCAGATACCTGCAAACTACACCAATTCAGTGACATGTTTATAGTAAAACATAACCACAAAGATCTACATTCTTTAGAATTGTTTCACATAAAATGATAATTTAAGATAAAGTAAATGAACACAAATTAAGCAACACTTCACTAGCAGGTTAACATAAACAATCACAGTGTTTATGTTTTGGAAGGGCACTAATTTTCTATGATATTGAGCAGAAAACTGTTCGCTGTTAAAACATAAATATTAAAGGCTTGCATCACAAAAATACATAACCTTGATCACAAAACAATAGCTATATACATACAAGAAAGAGATTATAAAACCACATAGTCACTTTAAGTATAGACTAAAGCGATGGACTTAGAAAAAAAAAACTGGCTTTGGAACAAAACACAACTCTAATTTGAAAATCAAAATCTTTTTAAGAAAAAAAGACTACTGTTTCTACTTGAAAAATGTACGTTAAATTGATCTAAACTGGAACACTAAATATATTATACAATATGAACACAATTTAAGTAGATATATATATACAGAGCTGCGCAAACCTGTACAAGGCTGTTATATTAGAAGAGACTAAAATGAGTAAACAATAGAGATTGCACATCTGTTAAACTTTAAAATGTAGCAAAATTACAATCAATAAATTTTGTTGTTTGGAATTCTGCAAGTTGACTGTCATTTAATAAAGCTGGTACAGGGAAGAGTTAATTACAACCCAACACTAAGGGACTATTGGATGTAAAGTTAAATAAATCTTTAATTTAAAATACACTTAAGCAGTCAGTTTGAAGTTTTATCTTTGTAAATTTTAAAATAATGCTTCATGTTTAAAAATGAGATTCAATTATGCTTTTGTAAAAACTTGATGCAATATTTGCTAAACATATGAAGATTTATCTATGTAAATGCCATTTACCTGCTAGGAATCTTTAGTAATAGATTCAATTGTTAATTGAGAAATATCAACATTAGTTAATGTTTCAAGAGGATCAGATTTAAATGATGCCTCCATTTGCTTCACTTTATCTGGTGACTGATCAGTAGGAGAACTGCCAGCTGATTTAGCTTTTTCAGGCAAGGATGGTGGGTATCTTGTAGGAGAGTTTGAAGCACTGGCTGATTTACCATCAGCGTTTCTTTCCTTACTTTCACTACGGCGTTCTCTGCTTGCTCCTCTATGTGCTAGTTTCATACGTTTGGTAGTCTGGAATAAATAAAAAGCTTAAAAATTAAAAACAGCTAAAATTATAACTTCACTACAACAGTAAACTAAAAAAATTAAATCTTTGGTGCACAGACAAATTGTTATACAAAATTTCTCAAGTTTCACATAATGTCTGTTTTGTCAACTTACTGAAAACATTTACTTGGGGCTTTCTTTATTTTACTTCATGTATTTTAATAAAAATAGCATAGAACCATTTATCTGTCAGAAATAAAATTGCTTTTACTTCCCTTATAGCCTAGCTAAACCCAATTATTTTCAACAACAAAATGTTTTTCTTTTAATTGATTTTAAGATTTCTAAAAATTTTATAAATATAATTCCAGTCACTAGAACTACTTTATGGCTATATTAGTTACATTGTAATAAAAGCCAATTAAACAGCAGACGCTTGGTAATTATTTTAATTTACCTAACTTTATTGCCTCCAACTTCTGGTAAAAAAAAATTTAATTAAAAAAAAAAAGTTGTAGAATATTAGCAGCTAGAGAAAGAAAAAATCAACAAAAACAAGTAATTAAAACTTGATTTATCCTGCTCCAGTTTTTATTTTTAAATTTCATTACCAGTGATACGTCGTTTACTACGAGGATTTAAATGTACTATTTATAGTTGAGGTGCATTTGGGCACATAGGACACTGCCGCCAAGAAGTGTTTGGAAAATTTGACAGTATAAAAAACTTACAACATCTCTGAGTTGTGCCTGAAGCTTGTGTTTTTCCTGTGTCAACCTTTCTATCTCTTCCATATTCTTCTGATTTTTAGTGCTTGTCATTTCTAAAAGAGCTAAGGTGGAGTCTTTTTCACTTATAGCAGCTTGAATGGCCTCTTGTCTGTGAGTTGAAAGTGAACAATAAACTATTTAAAACCAAGATTTCACAAAGAATGTAAAGTTCTTATCACGCAAATAAAACAACTAAAGAAAATCTTTTTATATCAATTTGACACTTTTACAAAATCCTAATTTTTTTTCTTTTTAAATAATGAAGTAATACTCCTCATAAAAAGTTATGTCATTGTTTAACACATTTAAAAGAAAATCTATTAAAGAACCAACTTTTAGAAAAAAATAACCCATTAACTTAAAAGGATATTAACTAAAAACAACATAAATAGATTTAATTGAGAGCTAAAAATCATACTGTTTTTTTTTTAGTAAAACATTTGTTTATTTAAACCATAAGTTACAAGTTGATAACAATATATTTATAATATCATACTTCATTTCATAAACTTCCTGTAAATGTTTCTGTCTCTCTGAGGTTAATTTTCTAAGTTTGCCATCCTTCTCTTCCAATTGTTTAAAAAGAGCTGCTACCTTGTCATCATATTCATGTGATGATTGCTGTAAACTTTCAATTTCTGATCTCATTTCATCCATCTGTATTTTTTTTAATCAAAAATAATGTCTTTAGTACTTAAAATTTGTATCTTTAAATCTAAGCTGTGTTTTGCTTAAGGTCATTGTTCATTTAATATTTACTACACTGTTTTTTAAAAAGCTGAATGATATTCTAGCGTCTTGTCATAAAAAACCTGCAATAAACCTTGAACATTATAAAAACTAACAACATGGTTTAAAGGTACAGTAAATCTTACAGCAGATTTAGCATCCTCTAGTTGTCCCTGAAGATCTGCCATTGCCATCTCACGTTCAGCTGTGATGATAACACTTTGTCTTAATGCTTCTTCCAGTTCTTCTACTCGGTCATTGCTTTTTTTTATTGCACTCTGTTAATTTAAATACTTTTATAAATTATGGTAAGAGTAGTTGCCTAAAAGTTAGCGTTTATCAGAACAAGCATGTTTTTTTTTAGAAAGAGGATCATTGAAGTTATATATATTATAAAGCCAAAGAATCGAAAAAGTAGAATGCTTTTTTTTAAAAAAGATAATGAACTATAAAATGTAGGAGCATTTCAAAAAGTAAAATAAAAATGCTAACAACTCACTGATAAATGTGAAGCATCATCTGTCATAGAATCTTCTCTTTTCCTGGCTTCCTCTAAAAGCTGCGCATTTTTTTTCTTCTCCGTTTGTTGATTTCGTTTTAAAGTGCCCATCTTTTGTTTGTATTCCTTCACAATTCTAAAATTGAAATCAATTTTTTATCAAAATCAAAGTATTGATCTTTGATAATAAATCCAACAACAAGGAAGCTCAGACATATGAAAATCATTTAAGTAGGAGATACTTCTGATTAACCATAGATGAAGTATAAATACAATAAAAGAAACGAAATGAGCCTCAAATATAACAAAAGAAGTCAAGGATAATGCATGGAGGGAAAAAAAGAAAATGACCACTTTGAGAAATGTGACCAAGCTAAACAAAAGAATACAAACAGGCATTTCAACATTAGTTTAAACAGATGTAAGATATAAACGTGTAAAGGACCTGAAAAGAAAAATTAGGAAATCATTATTGCAGATCTACCCTATTTAATCAAATTTAACTACTTTTTGTGACAATTAATGAACTTTCACTGAAAATCTGTATTAATATTAACTACAACTTTCTAAATTTTATAAATAGTTTTGTTTCTATCACAATTTTCAGAGATGTAACCAAAGAAAAAGCATAATTTTGAGGGGGGGGGGTGAGAGAAATATGTGCATATTACTTATCTTGGCTAAAACAGTTTGAGTTTTCATTTAATTCAGAAAGGTTATTTTTCTATGTTTAAAGAAACAGATTAAACTTTTAACTCACTCTTGCAAATCTTTAATTTCATTCTCTTTTTCTGCTTTATCAGCTTCAGCTTCTTTCAACATTTCCTGAAGTTTCTCAATTTCAGCTTGAAGTTGTTTACTCTCTTGTTTACTCAAATTTGCTGGTTGACTTTCCTCTTTTCTCTTAAGATCCTGATCAGCTTTTTCCTTAAGATAAATTTTGATAAATACACATTATCTAATTTAATCTTAAAAATGTCATCCAGACAACTTACTTCCAACAAAAAATATTTTCTTGGATAATCTGATTACTGACATCTCTAAAAGCTTTGTATTTATCTTGAACAACTGCTATGCCTTTTAAAAATATTTATATAATTTAATAAGTTTACCTTCTCATACAGTACATTTTTGTCAACTGCTTCCTCCAATTCAAGAGTAATTCTCTGATAATCTGCACGTTTTTCTTGCAGCTCAGATTCAAGCTTCCGGATTTTACCTTCTTGCTCAAACTTAATGGCCTGCAATTCTGTTGTCTGCTCTCTAAGTTCACAAATCTGAAGAAAAAGATATTTGTAAGGAAAAAGTAAATGACTTGATTTAATAAGGTAAAGGCAGCTGGAAACAAATCTGACTGTCTTCTCACCCTGCGGTAAATTCCTATTGATTCTACTGAAAAGTTTTCATTATTTTTTTTTCACCTTAAGTTAATTTTCAGTATTCAATAAACAAACTATTACTTTAATTTTATTGTGAAGAGCATTCAGTAATGAACATAGTATAGGTGTTTCTATTTCATATGTCCTATTGACCATCTAACCAGATAGGGTACCTTACATACTTAATAAGTTTAATGTCATCAAATTTATCAATCAACCCAACTTGCCTCAGTTTGTTTAGCAGTTAGCTCTTTTTGTAAGCTATCAAGGTTGTTCTTTAAGTCTTGTGCTTTTTTCATATAAATATCAATTTCTTCTTGGTGTTCTTTCTCTATCTGTTCTCTCTGGTCTTTCAATCTGCCATAAAAGCATAAAACATCATTTAATGCAGTAAGCCTTCTTTCTTTAACTCTTTTTTAGAAGTAAAATATTTAAATGTGTTAAATCACATCATCTTTACTCTAATTAATGACAGTAAGCACATATATACAAATTAATTGAATTATTTTTCACGTAAATAGACTATGTTCTGAAACCACTAAAATGAAGCACAACATATGAACTATTAACACAAGTGAAATGTAGTTCCTATCAATAGCAATTTTATTTAATTGGGTACCATACCTTTCAATCTGCTTGTCCTTTTCTGCCAAGCCATCTTCTAAAGCTGATAAAGTGCTATCACTGGGTGACTCTGTAAATGTGGTTGTAAGTCTAACTCTTGCTTGTGACAACTGATCTTCTTTTTCTCTGATAGTATCCTCTAGTCCTTCAATCTGCATGGAAATAAATTTATGGGTCAACGTATTCTAATGATGAATGTGTATTTTTTGTAAAGCTTCACATGTGAGTATTATAACTAGCTGGGGAAGTATTTCAACACTTTCCAGGTACAAATTCATATTCAATGACAATGGAAGTAATAATCAGATATTAAACTAGCGTATCCATTGCGCATGTTGCTGCAATCTCATAAGAAAAGATATTCAAGGACACTCAAGATGTCAGGGCACCAGTGTAGGCGCCATAGTCTGTGACCTCAGCATATGAGGGGACAGTGTGGTCAGACCCATGCTCTGAGGTGTGACATCTTTTTAAATTTGGGGTCTGGCTTTTTAAGTCAGTGGAAGGGGAAAGATAAAAATCATCAATTAAACATGATGTCATTTATGGATGACCCCCTAAACCCATCATTGTTCCAAAGATAAAGGGTAGTGTAGTAAATACTAAAATGCAGACAGCAGAGCATATAAAAACCTTAATAATAATGAGCTTTTTACAAGCTTTTATTTGGGTTCGAGGCAAATCTTGTAACTTAATTTGGAGTTACTTCTAATGCAGCAATTTAGTTCAAACTTTCCAAATACTTTCCACTTCGATGACAATACTAGTCTATCTATTTTTTTATTTAATTGGATATTTAATTAGTAATTAAAAATTAATTAAAACTGCTTTGAAACTAAGGGAAGATAACAAAATTAAATCACTTGATATATTACTCATTTCAATAAGAGAGGGGGAGATAACTAGCTAATACATTTAAAAGCTTGTTACTATAAAGTTGTTTTTTTGTTTTATGAAAGCACTAAAGAAAGGCTTTAAAAATATTTTAACTGTATTAGGAAAAATAAAATCATGGGCCAGAAAATATTTTTAATTGTATCTAGAGCTAAAAACATTCCCTATTAAACCTAATGAAAATGTATTTTCAAATTTTCAGTACATTCAAAAGCTTGTTATTACATTTAAGATTTTATAATTGTTATGTTCCTCTCTGCTAATTTTTCTACATGCCTGGGCCTGAACATCGACAGAGGGAAAAGTAAAGTTCTCAAAGTCAATGCATCAAGCAGCACCCCTATAACATTGGCAGAAGAAGCCCTAGAAGAAGTGGATAGATTCACCTACCTTGGAAGTATTGTTGATAAGCAGGGCGGGACAGAAGCAGACATAAAATAAGGACGGGCAAGGCAAGAGCAGTCTTCAACCAACTAAAAAATGTTTGGGGTTCTCGAGATTTAACCCTAGGAATAAAAATCCGGATCTTCAACACACTAGTAAAACCTATTTTACTCTATGGAGCTGAGACATGGAGAATAACTGCTATAAATAAGAAGAAAATACAATCATTTATAAACTCATGTCTCAGAAAGATCCTGCGAATTCGCTGGCCTAAAACCATCAGAAATGATGTTCTACAGCAACGGACAAATCAACTGCTAGATGAAGTAGAGATCCTCCAGAGAAAATGCAAATGGATTGGCCACACACTCAGGAAGCCTGTATAACAGGCATAACAAGACAGGCCCTCACCTGCAATCCACAGGGCAGGAGGAGGAGAGGCAGATCAAGAAAGACCTGGAGACGTGAACTGGAAGAAGACACCAAGAACATTGGATACACTTGGGGACAGCTGGAGAGACTAGCCCAGGACAGAGACAGATGGAAAGCTCTTGTCAGCTGCCTATGTCCCAGGAGGGGCGACAGGCAAACCTAACCTAACCTAACTATGTTCCTCTCTGCCTCTTTAAAGGAGTGGACATGCTTTGAATCTTTGGACAGATATTCAACATTTATTACTGAAATAGACTAAGCAATCCACAGAAAGTTTTCATCATTAGAAATAAAATATTGAAACCTCTTGCTGAGAGCTTTAATTACATTTTTTAAAGGGTTGCAAGTTACCTTTCTTTGTAAGCTACTAATACGACTAGCTTTTATTTCAAGCTGATCTTTCAATTCCATAACTTCAAGTTCAAGTCTTCGCTTCTCTGCTTGTGTAGCAGAAGTTTCTTTATTTTTTCTTTCTATTGTTCCATCTTTCAATTTCAGTCTTTCCTGGAGACCTTCAATCTGTTTCAAAAATTAATTTTAAGTAAAAAAATATTTTTTGATTGATAGCTAAGCATAAGATTAAGAATAAAATTGATTTATGTTATTGTAATAATGTAAACCTGAGAGTAAATCATTTCTTTTTAACTGATTTTGCAGTTTGAACTTTAAAATTTTGTTTCAAAATAATTATCTTTAGTCTTTAAAGATTTGGAGTATTCACACAAACTGTGAAACACATAACATAAATCCAGAATTGCCAAAAATAGTAAAAGTAATCACACATTAGAATTAGAAAAGAAAATTATATTACTTTTATATGGAAACATATCCAGTAAGAAAAGCAGGCACATAAAATGGTGATGCGTAATACTTAATTGTATTGGAGGAAAGCTCGTCTGACATTTCAATTAAGAACTTATTCTCTACATGTGTTTATATTTTCAGGATTTTGACTAAGGCTTACATCTGCTTGCAGCATTGTAGTTTGTCCCTCCTTTGAAGTAATCTGATCTTTGAGTACAGAAACATAATCTTCTCTTTCACTGTGTTGTCGTTCCAATGTGTCTATTTTTAGGCGTAACCCTGCAAGCTCAGTATCTTTCTTAACAAGTTCACTTTTTAATGACTGGATCTTGGAAGTAGTTGGAAAACAAATAGTGAGTTTAACTTTAAAAATTTAAGTGTCATGAAGAGCTTTTTATAACTATAAACAAATGGTATGAATAATTATCTCTACACTATTTTTTTACAATCCTGATCAACCTTTGTCAAGTAGACTTGACAAACAAAATCTTTAAATAAGTATTAACTATTTAAGACCATCATGACACTCCACTGTTTAACCAATTGGATTTTTAGCATATATGTAGAAATTGCTAGAGAAGCCATTTTAAGTTGTGTTTACATAAAATAAATTAGCAAATCAAAATATTTACTCTAATATTTAAGTAGAAAAATATAAGTGCTTTTCTATTACTATTGATTCTAACTGAAAAGTTGTTCATTATTTTCTCATCTAAAATTAAGTACATTTTCTGTATTCAATATTTGCAAATTATTACTTTAATTTTATTGTGAAGAGCATTCAATTATGATCTTAGTGCAGTTTTAAATAAACAACAATAAAAATATCAGTTTTTCGTATTGGAGTCAACAGGTCATTAAATAAGCAAAGCGCAGATTTTTCGCCAATGGGCTGTTGGAGAAATAAGCAGAAATTAGCATGTGCTTTTATCCTCTTTAAATGCTACAAAAAGTGTTTTTTATTCATTAATTCAGTAAAAATCTTTATTTTTGCTTTGACGAGCCCTTAGATCTAACCCTAATTTAGATATATTGCATTAAAATTTTATATTATTAAGCTATCTGAACTAGACAAAAAAAAAGACCACAGCTAAGCTCAGTTCCAAAATCAAAACCTTAAAAAAAACTTGTTTAAAAAATAAATAGAAGCTAAATACAGATCACCATGTACCAAAATAACCATGTTGTTTATTTTGTCATTGGTTGACCAAAATAAGCACTTCCAGTTTTTCTTGCCTGGTTATTAAAAATAATGTAGGGTAAAAAAAAAATTCCACCAAAGAGTGGGAAATAATTTACGGATAAAAGAGTTAATAGCTTACTTCAACACGTATTAATTTTTCTTTGGCACTTGCTAAGTCTCTAAGCGATGAGTCCCTGGTTGATACAGGAGAAGAAAGTCCTGCGCTGTCTTCTTTAGACTTTAAAAGTCTATCTTCAAGTTGCTGAACCTCTTTTTCCAAACTTAATATTCTTGCATCCTGTTTTTTATATAAATTAAAAAACAATGTTTTTCTAGTTTAGTATCTATAACCAAGACAGCTATTAAACTTATAAATAAAGTACACTGAATTGATTTATACCCGAGCTTCTAAAATGGCGTGAAGTTTGTGGTCACCCGGAAGTCCATGAACTTCTACTTTATAATCTTTAAGATGGGAAATTTCCTGAAAAATTTTAAATATTTGTTTTCATTTTAAATTATCAATATGTATAATGATAATCTAAAAAGTACCATAGTTCATGTAAATATGTTTATGTACTGCCAAGCTAGATAAAAATGTACCCTGTCGAGGCTAAAAAGTTTGCTGTCTTTTTCATTTAGATCTCTTTCTAACTGTTTTCTTTTTTGTTCTTCTTCTTTCAACTGAGATTTTAGTGCTTCCAATTCTTTTCTTTCTTCATCCATCTGAAATTTTAATGTTTGATGGTATCAAACAGCTACCAATGCAAATCAAATGATTATAGTTTGAAAGAGAGATAACAAAATCAATGAAAAATTGTTAGAAGGACATACAAATGCACACACTTACCTTGGTGATATTAACCCCTTTGCTGTGTAACATCTCCAGCAGTTTTTTAATGCTCTCATCTCTAGCTTCTAAAGTTTGTTTTTGGCTATCAATCCTTATTTCCAATTCCTCAATAGTTTTTTTTAGAATAAGCATTTCTCTACTTTGAATATCTCTCTCCTGTAAACAAGAATTAGAAATTACTTTGTTGCTATTAATACAACAAAACCTGTTCAACTACATATAGTAGGCCAACAGTAAACTATAGTTTTAAATTTAAAAACATGACATTGCCCTAGAAAACCATATAAAATTGAGACTCCAGTGTATTTTTTTTTTAATGTAACACACAAGCTGTTACCTGTTTTAAATTAATTACTTCTTGGGATGAAGTTTCAACTCCTGCATTAAGACCATGATAAGAAGCACTTGAGTGACTTATATCTTCACGGTCTTTTAGAAGTTCTCTATGTTTCTAAAATAAAATACAATTAAATATCATTTAGATTAAGGCATAAAAAAAAATACATTACAGATATTGTCAGAGCATGTTAAATAAAGGATTATGTTGCATTTTATATAACATTAATACACATTCTTAAATTATTATAATAATTAAGTTCTAGTCAATATTATTTAATCAACTGCCTGATTGAATGTCAATTATAATTTATCCTGTATGTTGTATAACTCAAAAGAATTGCAAGATGAGAAAGTATATATAAAGAAGGATTAAAGTAAGTTCTCATTAACAAGAACTTAATCGGATTAACTAACGACTGCTGCAAACATGACCATATATTTATTTGATTTATACCTTTAATTCTGCCTGTGTGACTTTAAGCTGTTCATTTAAAAGATTACATCTAGCCGCTTCTTCCTTCCTAACAGCTCTCTCTTTCTTTAACTCTGGGGACCAGAAGGTTTTAATGGAATTCATACTTGATGAAAGTTTTTCTCTTGTTTGATCTAAATCTTTTTGCAGTCTACCAACCTGAAAATAAATATAAATGATGCAACAATTTGATGTAATTTTTAAAGCTGCAACACTCATGTAGCTATTTTAATTACATAATCAATTATCTTATATGATTTTGGGATGTCTGGTTTGTAACATGTATAAAATACTATTAGGTTTTCAGCTGTAATTTTCATGTATAAGGCACTAAGTATAATTTTCCTCTTACTTCTTTGTGCAAATCCGATATCTGAACCTGCATCTCAAAAACAAGAGAGTTTCTAAATTCACTAGATGAGTGGTCGGGCTGAATACTGGACGGATGTGATAGTAATGGCATTGAAGGTAATGTGGCAGATGGATAATTATACTCTCCTCCTCTGTCAGTTGACCGTGACCTACTAATTGAATGAGGATCCCTTTCAAGTGATCGAGCTCCCATATGGGGATATTCTCTATCCAAAGAGCGATCTCGACCTGTAGTGTTATATCTGGTATCATGATTTAGTCTATTGTCCATTTGCATACTGTACTGCATTTGCTCAAAGTGTCTGTCTAAAGATGTATCACCTAAATATGCATTTTCACGCTCTATTCTATCTAGTGATCGATCTCGCATTGAAGTACCAAGGCTACTCGTACTGCCTGCTCTAGTATGGCCTTGAGTATTATTTCTACTACTGCTGAGACTTCTACTGTGAGTTGGACTGATCAAACTTTTTAAAGGAGTGTGCCTGGGAACTGGTCTACTGTCTATGTAAGTTCTTTGAGAAGGATTTAAGCCATATGTAGCATTGAAAGACTGCAAATGTTCCAAAGGGAAGTCCAGAGGTGAAGAAATAGCAAATTCTGCTGGTGACCCATCAGACATAGCTCTGCCTCTTGGTGGTCTTTCAATGGACCCATTTCCATAACCACCAATATAACTAGGACTATGGCCTGAGCTGGAGTTGCGAATTGGGCTAGTATTACTGCTGCTAGAAATACTATACATTGCATCAGCTTGCTGACGATTCATTGATCCAGTTGTGTGTGATACATCAATATTAGAGGAGCCTGCTCCATCTCGACTTTTTTCTTTCCTCCTGGATGAACGATTTTTGCTGAACATTTTTATCATTTTCAAACCAGTTTATTTGAAAAGCAAAAATCTGTTTAGAAAAATGAAAAGAAATATATTTAGTTTCCTATGTGCAATAAGCTATAAGCAAATGTATTCTAAAGGTAAGGAATAAAAATTGCCTAATACAGGCCAACTAAAAGTGATAAAAAGAATGCATTCTTACATAAGCAACAGCAAAAAGGTCACTTAAAATATTTACGACTTCAAATTAGATTTATTTTTTAAAGCTGCCCTTCTTAAAGAAACTGTTTACTTGACTCAACTTCAAGATGTGGTTCAGATATTTACACTATGTCCTATGGTTTTTAAATACATTTGAAATTGATAAAACTATTCCAAACTGACTAAATCCAACCATGGTCAACTAGCACCTGAGCAGTAAAGAGCGGTTGAGCGCTAGAGTTTCCCAACGGCTGCCTGAGAACATGGGGTACTAAAAAGTACTAGGGATACAGTGAGCCACTACATTTGATGACTAAACTGAAACCATGGTAGTGTCCTGCAGTAGATGTGACCAGGTGATGAAAAAATAACTAATTTTTTTTTAATCAGACTCAAAATGTTTTATCACAACTAAAGCAATTTTCACACCATAATTGTACAAATTAATTGTTCAACTTTAATTTAACATCGCCAATATCTTAAATATATAAGTAGTTTATGTTATTCTAAAACAATGACTGTCCTTTTTTATTGTATCTTAGTGTTTCCCTATATGCCTAAACAACTTAATTTTTTTTATTTATTTTACAATTTAACAAAAATGGAAATGAAATTTCTATTCAACATTAAGTCTAAGTTAATTTAAACTTTAAACTTTATGCCTAACGATCAGATATTCAATTTATGTCTTATATTCTTAAAGAGGTTAAGGTTAGCTATGACACTGCAAGTTATATGTGTATTTAGTTAACTACCAGTAACCTAACATCCCTTTTAAGACTTTTTAAGAAGATTCTATTACTGTGCCGTTTTTGGAGAGTGGTTACATAATTTGATAATACATAACAGTAACACATACACCCCAAGACCAACCAAAGAACTAACCCTAATTAGTAATTAGGCCTATATACTATAGAAAACATATACTTTTACCAGTCTGTCCCCCCATGATATCAAGTGCCCCCCCTTCCCCCAGGAGAAAAAAGTCTGTAAGAAACACTGACAGTGAGTAAACTTGACAAAACTAAAACGAGTGAGTACTCACTCACTGTGGTACTCACTCACTGTGAGCAGTACACTTGAGTACACTCGCCCTGCTGCCTTTGTGCTAGTAAAACCAAATTAAATAGCTCTAAGCATTATTAGTTTACTAAATCTAATTTAAAATCAGTGTTAGTCTTAGATGAGCACTGTCTTAACCTCGAAATGTGTTGATCTTTAAAGATCTATCCAGATTCATAGACTCTTCAGCAGAACGTGAACGTGCATTGGGTGAAGTTGAAGATCTAACTTCACGAAACATTTTCATAACACCAAAAGTGCCTCTGTATTTTTATGAATTTTGTGTGATTGCAACTTGAATACATAATAAATCTATTCATGATGAACTAGCGAAATACTGCAGTTCGCCTCAAGAGTTAAAACAAAAGAATAAAATATGCATTGGGTAGATTCTAGCAAGACTAACTCAAATTAGTGTCATCCATCAGTCTCAGCCCCTAATCTTTAGTCTTTAGATTAGCGACCCCTATATCCGGGTTACGATGACCTTTTAAATGATGACATTTAAATTTAGAAGTATCGCCTATAATATTATCTCTAACCTAACCAGTTGCTTTCTATGCTATCTTGAAAATCATTTTAAAGCCATGATTGTGAATGTGAGAGTAACCAAACAGTCCGTAGATCTGTAGGCCAGGCGTAAAAACCATATAGCCTGGGTCAAAAGATAGACAAAGTCCGAGTCAGAGCTGTTTATTAATCATTAGTCTATAGATCTATAGAGCAATGTATGTCTGCGTGTCTGCTTTTATACATGTTACTCCACCTTTCATCGATCGCCGTGATACTTTGGGAAGTTGACGAGAACACTCCAGGGGAGGTTTCTGCACACAAGAAAATTATTTCACAAGGGCGGCGCCCAGGAGGGTGCGACTTTTCTCTATACCATATGGTATACCTATGGTGTATAAAAATTACAATTCGGATGCGTTTCGACACCATTCATCCCTGTGCCATGGAACTTTGGGGAGTTGATAAGAATACTCCAGCGAAGGTCTCTGGTGGCGCCCAGGTGGGTGCGATTTTCGTCACGGTTTAGCGCTCAGAATTCCAGAGCGGCTATCGTAGCACTTAGTATCCGTCAATCGGGCGTCCTGCATAGCGGGAAAGGGGTACTACCATATTCAGTGGTAAAACTGCAGCCGCCGGCGCCATGGTGATTGCGTGTCCCGAAGCGCCCCGGGCTCCACTAGGAGCACTATGGCGCCTTCGTTTTTTTTAAGTCAATGTATTAAAGACACGATGGGCAACAACAATTGTTGACTATATCGAATCAGGCGCGCCCTACCACGCTCCGGCAAGGGGATGATTTGGCACCCGAGTTTCTTCCAGGCATCTCTTCGCGAGGGCGAAGCCCCCTCCGAAAAAAATCTACCCCCCCCCCCCCCCGAACGAAATGAAATTTATATAATTTATATAGAAAATATATACTTTTAACAGTGTCCACCCCCCCCCCCCCTCGAAGAAAGTCTACCGCCCCCCTCCCCCCCCCCCCCCCCCGAAAATTTCAAGTGCCCCCCCCCCTTAGAAAAAAGTCTGGAAGAAACACTGTTTGGCGCCACGGACTCACCCGTGAGAACTATATCGCTTACGTTCAATTTAAACAGCACCATAGGCTATGGATACAATGGGTTGCTATAGTCGCTCACTAAATTGAATTAAGCGCATCTTCAGACGCCCCGCAGGATTCTGTTTGGCTCCCCGGGCTTTCCTTGAGCGCTAGAGCGCATACGTTCTTTTTAAAGAGTGCGAAAGAATATGGATAACATATGGTATTATCAAAGGCGTAGCGACAGATTCCGGCGCCCGGGGCGGAATATACATTTTTGCGCCCCTCCCCCCATTCTATTTATAGTTATTCCTGTCTTTGAAAACGCGCCCCCCCCCTCCCTTGAAAAAATGCCCCCTCCAATGTAAATAAATAAAAAAATTGTAAAGGTTTGTGGAGTTTCTTACCAGTTACTATCCAATTAGATTTTCTATTTCGGTGCCACAAAATTGAAATAGAAAACAGTTAAATCAATGTGAAAAGCCTTGAAGTTGTTTGTTTTCGTAACTTTGACTGTACATAATTTAATACTTCAGCTTAAAATAAGCTTTTCAATTTATTTTTTCTACCCCTTTTGGCGCCCCCTTAGGGTCGGCGCCCGGGGCAGCCGCCCCACCCGCCCTCCCGTAGCTACGCCACTGGGTATTATAGTCGTTCACTAGATTGAATCAGGTGCGTCCACCTGCGCCCCTGTATATTGCGATTTGGCGCCCTGGGCTATTCCGTAAGCACTACGGCGCCTAAGTTAGTTTTAAGGAGCACCCTATAAAATATTGATACGGTGACAAACGACATTCATTGATTAAACCGAGCAAGGGGCCGCACGCGGCGCCCCTACGGTAGTGTAACTAGGGGCTCCCGAGAGCGCCGTCAACGTCCCTGACACCTGGGCGGCTGCCGAAGTGTTCTCTAACTCACTATTACGGTTAGTGATTAATGTACATTCGAGGCTTTCATACACCACGCACTTGGGGTGTGCTGGGCGGTAATGAAAGCAAACCCCACCCCGACAAATATGATCCAAGAAATCCAGACTATGTTTCATCTAAATAACTCAGTGTTAGAAAATAAGGTCACGCGTCTAAGAATATAGGTTTGCTGAAATCGCTAGGTCGGGTATCACCCGGTTCGGCACTTCATGGTGTCACCCCTCTACACACCAAAGGAAAAAGTATATATGTATGTATGTATGTATATATATATATATATATATATATATATATATATATATATATATATATATATATATGTGTGTGTGTGTGAGTTTGTGTGTGTGTGTGTGTGTGAAACCGTCTTAAAATATTTTGTAAGACTTTATTTTAGCCCCACGGCAACGCGGGGGGACGGGCAAGCTAGTTAAGTAAATAAAATTGAGCCGTTGAATACGGTGACGTTTTTTGAAATAAAGATTGTTTCAAATTACTAATTCTAAAAAAAAGTGTGATCTAGCACATAGATCTATATTGTAAAACAAAAATAATAAACTACGCATAGTCAAAATATAGGCTACACTGAGGGTTTTTGTTCATTTATTGTGTCTTTATAACACGCTAGGAAAAAAAAGGTAATTTTTTTTTCAACAATGCTGTACACTAGTGTACACATGGCGGAAGTGATTTCCTAGTTAATTTTACAATAAGATATAACATCCGTTGATGAAGGTAGATAAACCATACACATCACACAGAGGAACGCACCGGGTGACACCATTTAGGGCTGTGACACCAAGGCAAAAAATAGCAAAATATATAGAGAAAAATTATAATTCCACTTAATTAATTGATTAATTCGAGTGTTAAATAGTCTTTTAAGAGTTGCAAATCGAAAGTCTGAGGAGGGGGTGCAAATCGAAAGTTTGAGGGGGGGGGGGGTGCAAATCGAAAGTTTGAGGTGGTGCAAATCGAAAGTTTGAGGGGGGGGGGGGGGCACATCGAAAGGTTTTAGGGGGGGGGTGCAAATCGAAAATTGAAAGTTTGTCCCCGGGAAGGGTCGCTACGCCTCTGGGGAGTGACACAATTAAGTGCCGCTCCGGGTGGCACCCGACCTCGCTACGCCACTGCATCAACCATTGAGTAGATATCTGCACACAAAACAAAATCTTCAATGTGTCAGTTCTCCAGTATGAGTGGGGCAGGTGGAGGCTCTAGTTTCTTGGATCAGAGTTTCTTCCAGGCATCTCTTCGGGGGGGCGAAGCCCCCCCGAAAATTTTTTACCGCCCCCCCGAACGAAATGAAATTTATATAATTTATATAGAAAATATATACTTTTAACAGTGTCCGCCCCCCCGAAGAAAGTTTACCGCCCCCCCGAAGATTTCAAGTGCCCCCCCGGAGAAAAAAGTCTGGAAGAAACACTGTCTTGGATGTGAACAGCTCTGTCTACTGGCATCCCAACAAATGTGGCAAATTCATCAGCTTATATTGAAGAATATGCTAATCGAACAAGTCATAATGCACGATTTCGCATCGATTCTTCTACAGCATACATTAAGCTTTTAACATCCTCTGGCCATTCTTTTTGTAATGCCTCATAATTCCCACATAGTCTTTCTGCCACATTTTTTGTGCTACAATCAGGCTTAATTCTGTAAAAATCTCGATTTTTTTTTTTTTGCACGATTACAAGACTTTCTCTATACTTCGTATATACGAGAAAGTAAAAAAGATTTCCTTCCACTCAGTTCACTCCATTCGAGCCAGGAGCTAGCTGTGTTGGCGGATAGGTTGCATGTTAATACATTAAAATACATGAAATACATAGTATGCATACAGTTTACAATAAAAGGAATACAATTTTCATTTGATGACTTTTCTCTTGTAGTTTTTCTTACAATTTTTGCGTTTGAGCAATCTTCAGTGGATAGTGTTGAGGATGTAGAATATTAAATTGTGGCAGGGGTCGTTGTCGGGGTGCTGGTCGTTTTTGGTGTATATACTTGTTAGGCAGTATCCACATTGGAAGACGGCGGTATTTGGGTGTTTAAGTAGGTGGTGTTTTATTGCCCCTCTGCTTTTGATCAGATTGTTACAGTGCAAGCATTTGCTCATATCAGGATGGAAAATTTTTATATGAGTTTTACACTCGTTGGCAGTAGTGAAACTGTGGAAGCAGTAACCACAGCTCTTGTCTTTTCCAGGAGTTAAAGGTTTGGAAACTTGAGTTGATGCGGCGGTAGTATCTTGTTGTTGCTGGGTTTCTTTAGTATTTGTTGGAGTTGTTTCTAATGTTGTTTTGGCCGATTTCGTTTTTCTTTCTTGCAGTGTGGCTGGACTGTCTTCGTTCTTCCTTTTGGCTTTTGTTTCATTTCCATAGCAATCTGTGATTGTTTGTCTTTGGGATTTGAAGCGTCTTGCTGTTGTTTGCTGGTGTTAGCTGCTCCGTTGCTAGGTTTGAAGCTTGGTGTTGCATCTTGTAGCTGAGTGAGGGTGTTCTCTTGTGTCGTGTCTTGCTGTCGGTGATTAATAAGCGCTGTTTTTGCTGGCGTTGTTGATTGTGCTGTTGGGTCTTCCTACAGTGGTATTTCTGAATGCGTTGCTGGCAATGGTTCGCCCAGTGTAGGGTGGAGGAACAGATTTGAAAAGCTTGTCTTCTTCCGGCGATTGCGATTATGATAGTGCAGGGGTCGACAACCTACGGCTCTTTTGATGTCAAGATGCTTCTCTCGGGTTCCATACACACATGTTATTTCATTTTCAAAACTCATAAAAAATATTATATTGTAAAGAAAAAAAAACAACTTTAAACGGGATAAAAACACTCATCAGAGAACAATGAGAGTAGGTGAGGTAGAAAGTATACGGACAGATGAGAGCCGCTTGGGACAAGTCCCAGCCCCATAGTCATGCTGTAGACAGCTAAGTGACGACAGTTCCATGCTTACCACTGCCGACTTTTTCAAATATCGTTCAATAGGGAATGTTATTTTATATATTATTTGATTACTAATTTTATTATAACAGCTACATTATTTTAATGGTTTGTGCGAAACATTTGTATGTTTTTATATGAATAAATATATGTATATATATATATATATATATATATATATATATATATATATATATATATATATATATATATATATAATTCTCTTCTTGGGGACCATAGAAAACGCCACGAAGCTTAGCCGCCCCTACCCAGCTTTCTAGGCTAATCGCTACCACCCCCATCCTCACATGTCAGGTGAGTTGTGGTTCACCCCGAATGTTTACAGTAGAAGTGACGGCTATTAGGGGCAGATAAATAAGCTTTTAAATAATTTGAAACTAAGGGGAGGTAATTATAAGTTATGCTTGATCTTTTCATTGTCGAGTGCAACCTGTCGTCACGGACGGCTACTTTCACGGGGGGGGGGGGGGGGAGGAGGATAATTGTCCTTAACAAGCTACTGATAGTGTTTTAATGCAAAATATTTTCATTCGCAGCATTGGTAGTGCCGAATTCATAAAATATGAATTACTGAAAAATAGGAATCTATCTATCTACATTTATAATTCTCTACGTGGGGACCATGCCAGACACCACCAAGTCGTAAGCTCAATAGACCATATCAATACCACCCCCACCAGTCTGGTGAGCTGTTTACAATCGTAGTGACGGCCATCAGGGGCAGATAATTTAGTTATTAAACTATTTGAAATTAAGGGGAGGCAATACATGTTCTGCTTGCTCTTTTCATTGTCGTCTGTAACTGTCGTCACAGATGGCTTCTTTCACGGAGGAGGGGGGGGGGGAGGGGGGAGATGAGGAGTGGAAAGTGAGGATGGGGATAATCGTCCTTCACTAGCTACTAATAGTGTTTTATTGCAAAATATTTTCAGTCACAGCGTTGGTAGTGTTGAATTCACAAAATATGAATTACTAAAATTAGGAATTAAACTAAATAGCGGCGTATGCTACGTCGCGGGTCAGCTCGTTTTATATATAGGCCTAAAGCTATTTATTTCTAATTTTTAAAAATAACATTTATTCACCTAACCCTAATTAAAATGGCATAATATTGAAATAAAAATGTTAGTGGCTCTTTAAAAACTGGAAAATTTTGTAAATCGTAACTTGGTCGTTGGGCATCAAGCTGACCTTATAATTCTTCGCCATTCATCTCGGCCGTTATGAGACCGGCAGCCCCGTCCAATCCTAGATGTCATCCATCCACTGTCGTCTTTGCCATCCCTTTCTTCTACTTCCAGTCACGGTGCCATTATTGTGACTACAGTGGTAGGCCGTTTGATCTTTCGACATGCCAATACCAACTCATTGTGTGTGTATGTGTGTGTGTGTGTGTGTGTGACTATGCTCAGTAGACTCTCAAAGGGACTAATCACCTTAGTGTTCAATAAGCGCATTTTAAAGATGGGAAATGCGCAAAGGAAAAATGCGCAGACAGAAACATGCGCAATTTTCTGTTAGTGCAATTTTTAATTTGCGCATCTTTCTGTGAACCACTGTTTAGAGTACTACAGTGTCAACTTATAGATTTATATCAGTGATTCCAAAAACAGGCTATACCGCATCTGGGGTGGTGGAATGGTCGTGTGGTTAGGGTTCTAGCTTGTCGCCACTCCTTGGACTCCGACAAGAGTTTTCCTTGCATCTATAGATTCTGGGCTAGTCTCTCTCAACTGTCCCTTACATATATATATATATATATATATATATATATATATATATATATATATATATATATATATATATATATATATATATATATATGTGTGTGTGTGTGCCTATATATGTAAGTAAGTTGAGGGAACCGAGTGTGTTATGATGTTCACTCCATCCGTACATCCTCGTTGGGACAAAACCTGAGCAAACCAATTACATAATTAAACAACATTAATACTAAATAAAAAATAAAACTTGTTAACATAGTTCACAATGCATTTATTTACGAATACCAATTCTCTGCCTTCCTTTCAAATTTTAAACAATTTCCATTGATTGGAAGTAGTTATTTACGCTATTTTCGATTTCTCAAAAAAAAAACCGCTTATGAATTTATAAAGTACTAATAATAGTTAATTTTTTTCTATGAGATTCTATTCTATTTTAAAAAAGATTAGGCCTAAGTTATTAAAAATGGATTAAAAATCATGTCTGTCTGAGTATATCCCGAGTTGCATTCCCCCGTTGTGTTATATAAGAATATTCGAGAGAGTTTAGGGGAAATCACTCCCGGTTTATTAACTTAATCAACCACCATATGGATCTCAACTCTTTTTCAAAATTTCACCCATCCACCCCATTCGTGAGCTAGATTAGATAAAACACGTTAGGCATACAATAAATAGGCCTAGATTTATATCTTTTATCAGCCTTCATGTTGACCACCGCACAAAATTGTTTTCCTTCAATTAAAGAAGGGTTGGGGAGTGCAGGTTCCTTAACTCCCGTAGAAGAAAGCAAATAAAATTAAAGGTAAACAACAGAAAATATATTACAACTTTTTTAGGTACGTAAAATCGGCCGAAACTAGATCTAGATCTATATCTAGTAATGTGGAAAAAAAGATGACGGTAAAATCACGATATAGCGTCGATTATTATTCCGAAATTGTACAGCAGTAAAAAACAGTATCTAGAGTAAAGTTCCACGCGCGGTTAAAACACCGGTGCGATCATCGCCTGTTTATCGCTTCGTACAATATTTGTTTTGATGTTTTATACGAAACTACCGATATCTGCTGTAAACCTGTCCATTTCTAAATATATCCAGGTCAAATTCTTTTGTTTTTCTCCTTCTGGAAGTCGAGTTTTTAAATTTTAAAGTTTCGAGGTATGACGTCGTAGGCGGTTCTAGTTCCCCCTATGAAAAACACTAGGTCCAGGATGAGATGAATAAAACCAACCAATCAAAGCTTTTTATAACTAGGTTAACTATAAATAGCTTCTACAATATATGCGGGACACTGTACATACGATAGATAAGGCTAATAAAGCAACCTGATAGGTAAATAGGGGTGGCCGCAGCTTGGGTGTCGATTACGGTGGTTTCACATCGCTGCGTAACCAACGACTTGAGCTAGACTAGCCTAGTTCTAGATGCTCTATATTTCAAACTAAGCCTAGAATCTGTATACTTTCTATTTTTTTCTGCTGTTTTAAATTATTTCGATCATCTACTTCTTCTAAATCTAGTTTGTGTCTCTACATACAAGCATATCTAAGCAAATGTTACGTTATGTCTTTTAGTGGTTGTTACGTCCCTTTGTTATGATTATTATAGTTGCGTCCCTTGAGTCATCACTGGGTCAACTTTTAATGTCTTTAATTAATTTAATTAACATGTTTTTAATTATTATTTTTGCAATCTATTAATTAATAATACAATCAACAACACGTTTAAGTGTGTAAAATATTTATTTCAATTATTAAAATTGGATCAAAACGTATACAATACGCTCGTTGGCAAGCAGGTTCTTGCGTACGCAGGCAAAAAAAAAAGGGAAAAAAAATATCGCAAGGAGGGACGTCACTAAAACATGAATATCTTAAATACTATGCGTAGGAATACAAAATGACTCATACATATTACAGTAGAATGGCAGCGGAGTAATACAGTGCTTTCGGTTTGTTTCTGTGTGAAACGGTTATAAAATAGCGCCCGATGAAAATCGGGAATTTGGAATTTTCCGCTATGTGTGACCGCGCGTGGAACTTTACTCTAACTACTATTTTTACTAACTAGTGTAAACTAGGCTTTTTGATGAGAATTACAGAATGATTTTTTGGTAATCTATCGTTTTGGGTACGTAAAATCGCCCGCGGCTATTAATGTACGAAAAAGTTACCTCATTGTCAAGGCTTTAGTAGAAGTATATTGTGATATATTTGTGTCAAATATTATAGATAAATGAATAATAAACCTAAATCAATGGCTAAATATATCAATATATGCCAGAAATTAACTTTAAACAGCAGTGTTTGCGAGCAAGATTTGCTATATAAACAGCAGCCATTTGTAAAATAGAGTGACTTCCGCCTGTCTCGCGCTATATCCGCTATAAAAAAAAACTTAAACAAGATGGCTGCTATAGTAAATGAGCATGGTTGCATCTGATGGAAATATCGCTAGTCTTCATTTATTACGGAAAAGTTTTAATTCAATTGTTTAAAAACAGGTACATAAATGAAAGAAGGAAACATTTTTGTATTTTTCAAAACATAAATCCTCCTCAAAATGTGAAATAATTATTAAAATTTAAGGAGTCACCTGTTTTTCACATTACTAGTCGCGGGCGATTTTACGTACCCAAAACGATAGATTACCGATTTTTTTTATTAAAAATGTATCAATAATAGCCAGAACACTAAGTAAACTAAGCTAATTTAGCATATTTTAACTTTCTGTGCAAAGTCATTATTACTGAAAAAAATTCCAAAGTCAGGTCAGCCTGTGGCACCCTCCACTGAACGTGACAGAAGGAAAAAAAACTTCACCCGTGACCTTCATTAAAACAGAATTTGCTTTTTTTATTTTTGGTAAACATGTGCTTAATCTTACCCAATAAGTGATAAAAATTTGAAAATTAATTTTAATTACTGTTGTAAAGTAAGATAAATAGCTTAATAAACACATGCTTTCTTGAGGGGGTGTGGCCCGGGTGTGGCACATCGCAATTATAACTTTATATTTCTGTGTTTTATGACTATATTTGTTCACAATCAGCATGCTATGTTTTTAAAATTGATAAAGGGTAAGTATACCAAGTTACAAAATCTGCAATCTAACTAATAATTCATACTTTCAATTTAAAAAATAATAAAAACGATCATCAACGAAGAAAGCGTAAACATTCTATTTTTAGGTGTGACATAAAAAACAGTCATAAATCTAGCCAAATGATTGGATTCTTGCGCGGCACACATTTTCCCGCGCCTCGTTTTCACCAAACAAGAATATAATAAAATGGCATTATTACTTACACCCTCAAAAACATTGTTTTCACCCTAATTATATTAAACAGTTCTATTTTTATTTGATAGTAAAGATGTTATACAAATTGTATCTTATAAGAAAGTTATTGTAGAATGCACCTGCTTTAGTTAATTCGACTTGAAACGCAAGCTAAGTAAGCGTGACTTTCTCTCGACGGCCTCGTTAAATACAAATAAAGAAATTAGGTCAAAAGTACATCTGGGAATTCTTAAATAACAGACTGAAATAGAAACGGATAGTTCCGATGTCTAAAATTAACTATGGCCTCGTTATTATTAGTTTTATCCCTCTACCGTTTATTGAAAGCGAAACTGGTCGCCATTTTTAGCAAGCGCATGAGCCGTGAGATGCCACGAAAATGACAAACCCGGAAGTGTTGAATCGAACGGCCTAAGTGTAAACCATCTCAGATGGCATCTGATCATTTTTAGCCGCCATACTATTTTTCAACATAATTTTTAAAAATCTGCATGGATTGATTTTATGGTAATCTATCGTTTTAGGTACGTAAAATCGCCTGCGACTAGTAATGTGAAAAACAGGTGACTCCTTAAATTTTAATAATTATTTCACATTTTGAGGAGGATTTATGTTTTGAAAAATACAAAAATGTTTCCTTGTTTCATTTATGTACCTGTTTTTAAACTATTGAATTAAAACTTTTCAGTAATAAATGAAGACTAGCGATGTTTCGAACAGATGCAACCATGCTCATTTACTATAGCAGTCATCTTGTTTAAGTTTTTTTTGTAAACTTATAGCCACTCTATTTTACAAATGGCTGCTGTTTATATAGCAAATCTTGCTCGCAAACACTGCTGTTTAAAGTTAATTTCTGGCCTATAAGCCTATTGATATATTTAGAAATTGATTTTGGTTTATTATTCAATTATCTATTACATTTGTCACAAATATCTCAACATGAGTCACCTTTTTCACACTTCTAGCCTCAGCCATTTTTACGTACTTAAAACGATAGATTACCCCCACTTCTAATGCAGCGATTTTGTTCAACTTCGATGAAAAATAATTAATTACATAATACAAGCGGTAATCTATCAAACTTAAGTTTTTGGTACATATAATTGTCTGAGGCTAGTATTATTTAACATAAAAGAAACACAGTACTCAATGCCACTGCTGTGGGTTCTCAATGTTGCAGCTGTTTGTACTACTTATGTGCCACTGCTGTGTCATGCAAATGATACTGTCCTAGTTACTTATTGACACTGCTTTAAGTACTCAGTGCATTGATGTAGGTACTCCATACCACTGTGTGGGTACTCAATGCTAAAGCTGACAGCACTAGATGCCACTGCTGTGGTACTTAAATGATGCTACTATGGTTACGTAATATTACTGCTGTAGCTACTCAGTGCTGATGCTGTTGATACACAATAACACTGCTACAGGTACTCAGTGTCATTGCTGTGGGTACTCAGTATTTTTCTTGAGTATTCAACAATACTGTAGGCCTATTTATTTCAAGGTGTAGATTTATGATCAGTGTTATCACTATCATAAGCTTGGTGAAGACCTTTGTTCGTGTGTCCAGGTGGTCTATCACCTCACTTTCTGTAGTTATATTTAGTATTTATATTGTACCCAATAGCATGATCTAATTATTCCAGCATCTCTCTCTTTCTATACATTACACAGATACACACACATACATATATAAATATAGATATAAATATATTTTGTTTTACTATGCATTCAATTAGGCTGTACGATATATAAAATTAACATGAACGTCAATGTGAGGGAGTCTTCATGTTTTGGTAAGGTAGGTCTACTTTTTTAGTCAATTAATTAGGTTTGTATTGATTTAAAAGCTCTCAGCCTATCTTTATTCTTTTATATTGATTTTTAACAGATATCTTAAGTTTTTTTAGTCTACTTTAAGAAAAAAACTGTCATTTGATTTCTATTTTATTTGATTTTTGTACATGAACTTAATGTATATGATAAAAAAATAAAAATGTACTTTTGTTGAATGCACATTTATTTGCGGGGGTGCCTTTACTTTTTCTTGTACTTTTGAAAAAATATGTTAAACATAAATAAGGAACTGTTTAAATAATTAATTATTTATTTATTAAAAAATAAATCTTAAGGTTGAGTTTACTGTGGATGAAACTGAAACAATACAGAAGGTTTTAAGACAAAGACTAGGACCAGAATTTATAAGTCAACGATTAGGGGCTGCAGGATTGAAAGCAAGTATTTTTTAAAATTGTTTTTATCATAAGAACAATTAAATTACTTTATTAGTTAATTTCACTTATTATTCATGGTTAATCATCTGTGAGGCTACCAAAACATAATCTATATTTTCTGGCTCTCATTTATAGAATTTTATTTAGTGTCATTGTGAAGATAGGGAAGTGAGAGTAAAATTTAGCTATAAATAGAATGAGCTTTTATGTATGACTCCTTATTAAAAAATAATGTAAAATTGAATAAAAAAAGCATTAAAATGTCTTCATCTTTTCTTCAAATATTTAGTAGAACCCATGGCAACTTTCTTTTGACTTGAACTTAAATATACTGTTTCACTTGATTAGACCCATCATCGATTTTTATTTTGCATATTTAAAAAAAACTACATGCATAAAAATGTACAGTGAATAAACTGCTGCAGGATTTAGAGAATAAATTAGCAGACAAACTAGTTTTATAATTAAATGTTCTATAAATGTTCAAATTAAGGATAGACACCACGAATAGAATTTTTTTTTTATTTAACAAATTTGTGGGTGTTTAATAAATTCATCTGTTAATAATCCTTAAACTATAGACAAAAATAATATAAAGCCGCCAATAGTAGTAATAGTTGCCATGGAAACCACGAAAATGTGTGAAAACTAACACCTTTTCAAACCTCTATAACTTTGTTCCCATAAGAGATGTTTAAAAGCTGATGAAAGATGTTTCTCAAACCAAACTATACATTTCTACGTTTATTCATTGCGATAGCTTGAACTCAATTTTTAATACAAATTTTTACGTACATTTCTGTACAAAAATTAGGGGGTGGTGCTACATAAATATCTATATTTCCTAAAGTATTGTAAACTGAATGTACAAACATAGTTTTGTACATGGCATGATGCTGAATGCATGTGGAATGTTTCAGTCTTTTCTGACAAAGGGTTCCAAAGCCTTAGTGATTTGAATGTGTTAAATAGTGTTTCAATGACAATCAACAGTACACTTCTTTGCAAAGTTTCAACCAAAACGTTGTATAATTTTAAAACAACAAATAGAAGAGTATATGCAAATAAAGTAAACAAATGAAGACAGGTTTATCTAGAAACAAAATGGCTGCCTAGCACATGTGGTTAGTTGCAACCTATTGTGAATTATTTTGATTTACTGTACTATAATATGATTGGTCAAGCATATCAACGAATCTCTTCCCATTCCCTGATATGGAGTTTGACATTAAATTTTACTTTGTAGAAAACAACTTCTATCCCACTTATTTTTAGAACAAAAGAAAAGCTCACCACACTAGTGTGTACACAAGTGCTAGGCCGATAGATTGCTGTAGAGTTTATGATGCCCCACGAGCAATAAATGATATAATACCCGCTCGAAGATAGCCGCTGCCCGCGTTGTATTGTGAAAATTTGCCCGGGGGTGGGGGGGTGTCATGTTTCACATGGCAGTAAAAGGATAGCCGTAGGCTGTAGAAGTCCAATGTGTTCAGGTTAGATAGATATTAGTACTGAATTAAGAAATAAAATTTTGATGAGCAAATTTTTTTTAAAAATGAAAACGTGTATCCTGTATCCTTAAAAAAATTTCATAACCTATTGCTCAAATGTCAAAGCAATTATCCAATTGAAATCAATGGAAAAGCTAAATGATGCATTCCAGCTTTTTGTCACTTTCTCTTAAATTTTTTAACTGCTTTTCTCTTCACTGGTCTTTACCTTTTTTTTGCCACACTTTTAAGTAGTTTTGGTTTTTTTTCTTTTCCACAAATGGTGAAAATGGTGAAACCCACTGATCCAGTTGCTAATATATACAATTCTGCAATTAAATCCCATTATAAACACCATTAAAAAAAACACTGTTACATTTTTTGATTTCCACATTTTAAAATTTATGTTGTCACTTTTCTGATGTTCTATTCTAATTGACAGCTTGCTTACATTGAGGGCTGGAAATTAATTAATTTAGCCAATGAGACATTTGGCTTTAATGGATGGTCTCACAGTGTTTCTAATCAAACTGTAGGTATGAATTGAAATAAACAAAAGTAAATCTTATTGCATGTATGTGTTTGATAATTTTAATTATTTCTCACTTTTGTGAAGTGCTACTAGATAACTTACTGGTACTTCCAAGTAAAATTAAAAAATGATATGTTTGAAAATAGAAGTACAGTCATCCCTTGCTACCTCATGGTTTATTTATCGTTGCCTCAATACATTGCTGATTGTATGTTAAATACACACACATGTACCATATTTATATTATTTATACATGTTCTTTAATATGTTCTTTAATGTTCTAATGTTGACATGCATTTATCTGGTTTCTTATACACTTATTAATATTATACTTACACAAAAAGTTACATTTGTTAAAAAAGAGGATAACCCTACTTCGTGGTGTTTAACTTATTGCAGTTGGTTCTGGTCCCTATTAACCACGATAACTGGAGGATAACTGCATAATGAAAACATCAGATTTATGTTACAATTTAAATACTATGCAAACTTGTGAAATTAAAACAACTTATCTCTTTCTTTTTTTCTAGCAAAAGATTTTTATTTTGAGCTATTAGTAAAATTAGCATTTCTTAGTGTTTAATGAATACAAAATAAATGTATATTAACTATTTTTAGAAAATTTAAATGAAATCTTGAAGAGAGCAGGATTAATATTTTAAATCAGAAATAATATAATTTTTTTTCCAGATTTTGTTGATCACATAAATGGGAAATTCTATGTTGGTGTGAGTGCGCTTGTCAAAGTTCAGTTGAAGGTAATGACAATCTTACTATCCTGACGTCACAGTGTAAGTCCAGGAGTAAAGGAAAATACTGCACTGTTTCCAACACAAGGAGGAAAACTCCTGGATTTACAGTAGCTTTCTATGCTCAGTTCAATGGAGGGTTCACTGTTGAATAACCTTTCCTGGAATGAATAGAACTCATAAAAGAAATATTTGAACAGGAAAACTCAGTGTATGTACATTAGAGAGAAGCAACATATAAAACAAAGGTTTGACTCAAAATTGGAGCACATCAGTATATATGCTATATATAAACTGAAATAGTAACACTAATAGTTACCTTAAATTGATGTTGAGTCTCTACATGTAGAACTGGTGGAGAATTTGAATAAAAACCCAGTTTAAAACAGCTCCAGTTTACCTAGCTAGTAAACTTTTCAGTTAGATTTTAGACTAGCTGTCAGTTGGTGTCCAGGCTCTCAAAGTCTGGTTTGTGTGGAATATGCTTACAATTACATTTTTATTTTCAGGATGGTGTCTTTCATGAAGATGTTGGATATGGTGTTAGCGAAGGAATGAAATCAAAAGCTCTATCTTTAGAAAAAGCAAGGAAAGAAGCAGTGACAGATGGACTAAAGAGAGCATTAAAGTTAGCTATATTCATTTAGACAATTTTTTTTGATGGACTATATTAAGCATTAAAGTTAGCACAGTGGCGTTGCCAGGTCGGGTGTCACACCCTACCAAATGAATGTATAGTATATATATATATATATATATATATATATATATATATATATATATATATATATATATGTATATATATATATATATATATATATATATATATATATATATATATATATATATATATATATATATATATATGTATATATATATATATATATATGTATATATATATATATATATATATATATATATATATATATATATATATGTATTCCTATATAGGCCTATATATATATATATATATATATACAGTTAGTTGCAATTTGTATCACACCCCCCACCTCTCATTTTGCCAAATGGTGTGATTTTGTGAACACCTAATTTTAATTCACCTATTAATTCAAGCGGGAAAAAAGCTTCCTTTTCATAGTAAGTCATTGAGTGACTTATCATTTATTGAAAATATATAACTTAACTTTTTTTCCTCTGTGAATTTTGCAATTGGTGTCACCCCCACCCCTGGTTGATAGTTTTAAAGTGTGCACAGTTAATATTTATGATGTTTATCTGTAATAGGTTATAATCGGATGTTGCCTTGTTTTCTCAATAGGTAGCAATTTACGTCTTGGTGTCACCCCCTTGGGATTGTCAATTAAAACTCTAATTCATCATTAATTCAACTGGCTAAAAGCATCTTTTTTCTATATATTTTGCAATTTTTTGTCTTGGTGTAACTCCCCCCATTTGGTGTCGCGGGGATGCGGTCCACACCACCCGCCCCCACCTAGCGAAGCCTCTGAGTTAGCAGTATTCATTTAGACAAATTTTGTTAGTGTAAAAAGTGATTTTTGAAAATAACTTGCACACTTTAGCGTCATTATTATTAGAAACTGTGTTGACAACAAAAGTATCTATTAACTAATTAACAAAATTGCATTTATTCTTTTTAGAAGTTTTGGAAATAGTTTGGGAAACTGCCTTGGGGATAAAGATTATCTTAAATGGATAAACAAAGCAACTAAGCCTGTAAGTATATGATTAGACATGGACAAAAAATGGATAATTTGACAGAAAAAAAAATTATAAATACTTAAAATATTTTTAACTAGATAAATGGCCCGTTGGTGGAAAATACAGTGGGCACTAGGTTGATTGTGTTGTACAAAAAACAAATCACCACCTTAACTTCAAATTTGACCGGATGCAAAAATCTAATTGAAAACATATTTTTATCCAGAATCTGCATTTGAACCGGATTTAGCCTTAATCTACACGTAGTTACTGCACATTCATATTAAATGTTTTCGTAATCATACCCCTAAACCTTGCACCTGTTCATATTGTTTAATTTTGAAAACTTCCTATATATTCCATGTGACATCATGGTCTTTCATTGTGCATCTTTTAAATTTCCTTGTGTTTACTCTTGAGCTTTCCTGACAGACAGACAGACAGAATAGCAAAACTATTATTTTTGATAAGGTCGTTCTTAATCAACTTTGCATAACTTTCTCTTTATAATTCTAGTATGCTCTTTTTGTACACAGAGAGCATACAAATATTGTGAAAAGCTTACCTAACATTAACATTCTCAATAGTTATGTACTATTATTTGCAGCCATCAGAAGTTTACTCTGGGGATGATATGAAGCACTCTGTTGAGGATCCATCCATAGTTAATGCCAGATTATCCAGGAAAAGTTTTACAAGCAAAGAAGTAATATCCTCCACAACATTTAGTAGTAACCAAACACCTTTATCCAGTTCAAGTCTGCCACAGCATGGTAATAGAAATCTCAGCATTTCTAATTCATCTGTTTTTGTTGCTTCAGCATCCAGTTGACTCCTTTAATTTGATATATACTAGGAAAGAGGTCAACTCTACTTCACTTGTCCCATAGACCATCAGGTTTGAATGGGAACTTCACTTTTACTATATACTAGGAACCCCTTAAAACGAGCTAGGCAGAAGGAATAATTAATAAAATATGAGTTTAATTTTATGGCATATTTTTGTTTTAATAATCCTACAAATGTATAGTATTTAATTACAAAGAAAAGGTTATTATTATTGTCAGTATTCTATTGAATGTTTGTAAGTTAACCATTGTTGATTATTTGTATACTATTGGCTACAGCAATACATTATCCATAAATGTTAAAATACCTCAGGATTAATGTTATATATTATTATTAGTGGGCATAATTATGTTTAAAAAGTGAAAAAACATCAAAATATTTATGTAGTTCAAATTTGTTTTCTTCAGTAGTTGAGCCTAAAATCTCAGTAAAATCAGCAGCTGATAGTAAAATATCTCTAAAGCAAACAGCTGATTTCAAATCAGAAACTCCAGTAAAGCCAGTAATAACAGTAGCTGATAGCAAAGTGCCTCTAAGACAAGCAGCTGATTTGAAAGTAGAAACACCAGAAGATACACTTATTGCCTTAAAAGGTTCCACCAGTTTCCTTCCTGTAGATTCCTCTACAAAAAATATTTCTTATAGGTAACAGTTACTAAATATTGTAAAAATGTTTTTTTTACATGAAAGTGTATCGTTGAATACTTTAGAGCTTATCTTTGAATAGGAAAAAAACGTCAGTGTTAAAACTTCAATCCTTCATGGCTTTCCTGTTCTATTACTATTAGCAATTGCAAGAACTTTGCATTGTTGCAGTATGTTCATCATAATGTATTGTAAAATAATACATAAAAAAATAATATAAACTTCAGTGAACCATAATAACATAATTAAAAAGAAAAACACCTGGACAGATTGTGGTACCTGCTTAAGTTGGGGAAGGTGAAGATTGCTGGACATGTGGACATGCATAGTACTGAGATCCCAATTACGTTATGTGCTGGGGTCACAGATACAGATAAATTGATTGATTGAAAGAGTATTTAATTTAATTTGTCTTTCGGCCTAGTAAAATTTACAGATCTGGATATATTTTACCTGTCTCTATAAAGAAAATAATATTCAAATATGAAAAACTTTCCTCACTTTAGTTCACCTGACAATATAGATCCAGCAAAAAAAGAGCGACTGATGAAAGTGGAACAAAAGAAGAGAGCACTACAAGCAGCTCTAGGTATTATTATTTATTGCCATGTTATTTTATAAACTGATTTGGCAAGTAGGTATCATACCTGAAGTTACATGAATATTAGATACAGCTGACCGGTGGCGTAAAATACGCCGCTATTAAGTGACGGGTGAATAGTTCCTGAAAGACACTTTTGTCCCAATGGGGTGGGTAGGTACGCACTGTTAGAGAGTGGTGTGCGTGCATGGTGTCCTGTATGGTTGGACGATGTCGAGAATTATATATATATATATATATATATGAACTTATTACCAAGTAGACACTATATCTAAACTTCCACTAGAAGTAGGATAATGTATTTATAACTTAAACATTGAGGGAGTAAGTGCATGTTCAGCTCTTTGTAAATCTTAATTAAAAGATATATTTTTTAATGAGCTTAAAATACTGGATGTTTTAACAGAGGCAGATAATTTAGTTTCAAATAGTTTAAAAACTAAATTATCTGCCCCTAATAGCCGTCCCTAATTGGATAATGCTCTAAGATTGTAAACATTCGGCGTGAACCACAGCTCACCAGACTGGTGGGGGTGGGGTGATAGCAATATGATTGTTGCGCAAGCCTGGAGTGTGAGGGAGGGGTGGGTGGGAGCGTGCATATATGTGGTGGTGCCCCGCACAGTTGGGCGACATAAAAAATTATATATATATATAATCTTGCAAATTCTGCATAATCATGTTTAGGCTCAGGTTAGTTTCAAGTTCAATTGGGGCTGGATTACATGGGCACCATCATAAGTCTTTTGGGGATTGAGTGGTAAAACTTCCAGTAAAACACAGTCTAAGCCAAATGTTCACTTCAATTTTCTCATTAACAATAATTTCTTTGAAAGCTAACAGGGACCCATAATTTATTTCCAAACTTCAGTGATTTATTGAGAAGGATTTTCTTTAGCTTGTTTAATGGCTTCTTTTTTCCCTAACCCTAACAATTTTTAAATATGAGCTGTATTCAACAGTCTATTAAATTATTGGTTTGATAGAATTAATCATTAACACTGCTGTTTGCTTTTTGAACCATAAATAGTGACTTGAACTAATAATGTAATTTCATGTTATTTTTTTTGTCAACATTTTAGAAAAACAAAGTATTCCAAAAGTGACTCCAACTGAAAAGGAAGTTTTAATTGGAGAAGACAATTTTGGTAATTAGCATAGTGCTACACAATATAACTTTTTGATCCATTTTAATATGTTTTTACAACATGTATTGTAATAATAATCATTTGAGCTATTGTGTAAGATGGGCTTGAGGAGTTGATATTCAACCAAGATCAGATTGTTTTAAAAGCTGTATTGCTATAAAATAAAGATTGAAAACTATTCCATGCAGTTTTGAATGACAGATTGGCATTTTCATTTGTATAATAAAAGTGTTTATTCTCGTTATTTATTGCCGTAAAGAGATTGACAGATGTCTAATAATATCAGTGTAGATATCAAGATAACCTCAAGCCTAGAGGCAAGTTAACTGTCCCAAAAAGTATGTTTTTGAGTAAGACTTGATCTTCCAAATAACAAAACTTATCTTTTTAAATATTCACAACAACTGCAATATCATAGTGCAACAGGCTGGGCATTTACTAGGATTTAGGAATACCTTACCATTCTATTTGTTATTGTCATGTTGCAAATCTTCTGACTATAGTGAAAGTAATGCACACTAAATGTACATTAATCATGTGTTTTGTTGCAGAAGAAATTGAGGTATGGAGTCAGGCAACATATGCTAATGACCTAGGTGTAATAGACCACTTAACATCCACCAGTAATACAGGTAGTTTTTATATTCTGAAAAAAAAATTACACAGGAAATGTATATATATATATATATAATATATATATATATTTATATTCTAGATCTAGATAGATAGATCAACTTCATTCACCACTGTCTGGTGACCTATTATCCTACCCATCGTATACCAATGTGTGACATTAATGTCGCTTTACACAATTATGGCCTGTCCCATTTTAGGTGGTGTGGTGGGGGGGGGGGGGGGGGAAGAAGGGAGAGGATACTCAGAGTGAACATAGCTTCAGTTTTGAGATGACTGTTCTAAACATACATACTACAATTATACATATATACTGATTCAGAAATAGATTTAATTAAGTAACATTGGTATTATGACCTTAAAATGTTTTTAAAGACGGGTCCATGGGGTGACCCAATGTGCCCACACAATGTTAAAATTGTATTTAAAAATCCAAGATGGCCACCATCACCATGGCAACGGCAGGAAATTTTTGGCCTTTTTTTATTTTTAGACTACTATTTGAGTCATAACTATATGTTAAATATTATAGCATTTGGTTTAGAACTAAGCATTTTAGTTTTCATCACCTGCCCATGCCCTTAAGCATTGTATAGACAATTTTCCTTTTACTTCATTCAGTTTGTTTACTTTTGTTTTGCAGATACCAAAAAAAGACGTTTAGAAGAAGGATCAAATAGCTGAAATCCAAAACTTGAATAGAATATTCTACAGGTGTCATTTTCAAATTACTTATTGTATATATGAGCAACTTTAACTGTATTTGTAATATAAAATTTTTATTTTAACGTTATTGAATCTATTGATTAGCATTTTGAATCTTAATTTATTTACACAGTTTTTCTTTTAAATTTAACAGCTTAGTTTTAAATTGAATGTGTAATAGTTTTACTATTTACATTTTTCTGTACCATGAATTACAAGTTTGACTGACTAAACCAAGCTGTGAACACAATTAAAAATAATAATTAGTTGGTCGCATGATTTTTGGAAGAGAAACAAATGAAATTCAAAGTCAAAAGATGCCCCTGAGACTAATATAAGAAAAAATATGTCATGTTTACAATGTCATATACATTTTTTTACACTGCATGTTTTATATCAAATTGTTCTAAATTTGAAAAAATAAAAATGTAGTTACATTTTTATGAGTTACTTGATGACATGTCTGAGAAATTAAATAATACCTTAATAACTATAACAGATGGAATCAGGGATAAAGGTAATTATTTTGTTTTTTAGTAGCCAAATCATTCTGAGCTATATGTGTATATAAGAAGTAGGAGCAATGGTGATCAAAATAGAAACTATCTTGTATATAATTATCCATTACAGATGCCAATACTAGTCACAAATTCTAATCTTTCAAGTCTTTCATAGAATTTATAAAGAAATTCAACATATATATATATCTAAAAATGAAAGTAGGTGTGTTTGTCTTGTATGCATTACTAAACCTTTCATGCAATCACCATGAACTTTGGGAAGTTGTTGAGAACACTCCTGGGAAAATTTCTTGCTTGAGTTCCCTAATGGCTGTCTTAGCACCTTATTACAGAGGGTGATTAGGCATTCATACAGCAAGCCCTGGGGTATCCAGGAGAAACTGGACAAACCCATGCTCCTATTTCAAGCAATAAGCGCCGGCTATGTTAACATAGTGACTCATTTTATTAAAAAAATGAGGTCACACATCTAAAATACACCAGTAATGCTTTGATGAAACCCATATAAAATGTTTCATTACTCTGATGTGTAGAACTAGATTGTTGCAACACATGATGGGTCAGCTAGTTAGGTATATGTATACTTTGTCATAGACAACTTCATTCTATGTGATAGATGAAAAAAAACTGATTTTAAAGTGAAACTTCCTTTATGAGTTGAAGGTCTTTGATTAAATTGCAGTTTTTTTTATCACTTAAATGAGATCTAACATGTATTTTAGCTGTCTATATCTACAAAGTATTTGAATTCTTGACCCATCTTTCCCCTCTTGCCAATATGGATGACCACGGAGTTATAATAAATAGCTCAATTCAGTTAACTTCCAATATACTAATTTCACAATGCATAGTTTGTGGATATTGTGATGATTACCAGCCAACTCTAGTGATTTACTATTTTTGGAAATAAGTTTACATAAATATACCTGCGGTTTAAAAATTGTTGAAAGCTTGTTTTATTTTAATGAATTTCCAAATCACCTACAGTAAACAGATGAATGATACTCTAGTGATTTACTATTTTTGGAAATAAGTTTACATAAATATGCCTGCAGTTTAAAAATTGTTGAAAGCTTGTTTTATTTTAATGAATTTCCAAATCACCTACAGTAAACAGATGAATGATATAAAAATATTTTTATATGGAAAGGTAAACATTTTTTTTTGTAATGGTAAGCACCATTAAAAGTAAGATAACGTTGACCATTATTTCTGTTTTTATTCATCACTCTGGAAGTAGATCTACTCATTTTACAATACAGATACCATAACTAAATAAATAAATAAACATTTAATGTAAACATTAATAAACATAAATAAATATTTAAATGATAGTCTGGTTGGGTGGTAGAGCGCATGACTTCTTACGCCAAAAGTTTTGTATTTGGATAATGAGATGAAGTCCATAGGAAGTCCCTGGGTCCACTCAGCTCTTATGTGTACCTGGCTGGCTGTAAGGAAACTAATATGGGATGGTCATAGAACTGACCACATTATCCCTTCATGTGCAGAGGTTACGTAAACAAGTGAACTCTACTTCATCTGCTCTGTTGACCATCAGGTCTATAAGAGTATCTTTAAATGTAATAGAGATGTTTTAACTCACCCCACCCCCAAATATACCACACAGACACACCCCCTACCAATGTAAGTTGTCTCACATAAAGTTATGCCATTGGTGACCATGAACTTGATGCTCATGTCACTTGATGTCTACTGTTTTAAAACTTTTAATGTCACATAAACTATAAACAATTGTCCACTATATATGAATATGTTACATATATGTATGTATGTACACACACACACACACATATATATATATATATATATATATATATATATATATATATATATATATATATATATATATATATATATATATATATCTATAATATAAGCGGGCTGAGCGTGTGTCAGTCCTTCCTTCCTTCTGTCATCGCTATAGCTTTTGGAACCATAAAAGTAAGCATCGCACCATGCTGTGCTTTTCAGTGCAACGCAGTGTCTTATTATAAGTAATAGAGTAGGGTTCGTTTATATAGCGGCATAGAGCTATTTTATAAATGCCACTGTGTTTACTTTTTTGCATAACGTTATGAAAATATTAAATATTCGCACATTGCTAAAACATATTAAAAAAATCAATGTCAAATATCATTTTAGTTTATATTCCTAGAAAAAATGGATATATTTCCATAAAAGTAGGTCGAAAAAACTAATTAATCAAACTTTTTTTTGGTGGTAATTTTTTCAAGGGAGGTAATTTGAAAATATATTTAACTCAACAATAATTTTAGTTAATCTTTTTTTTTTATTACTACCGCATTGATTAGTCTATGTTAAGGTTCATAATTAAAATAGAAAAATGTTAAGATTATTTATATTATTTATTATTATTTTCTAATTAGTCTATGATTTCTCAAAAATCACTATCTTTTTGCTTTTGTTTTTCGGTGTTATGAAAACAGATGGTGAAATTAGACTTTTTGAGAAGAATGGAACGGCTCTCTCTGAGCGCGGACGTATGGGAAAATTTTTTTTTTTTAATATTCAACTCACTCTCAATAATTTAAGTTAATTTTTTTATTACTTCCACATTGATTATTATATGTTAAGGTTCATAAGTAAAATAGAAAAATGTTAAGATTATTTATATTATTTTCTAATTAGTCTATGATTTATCAATATCACTATTTTTTGTTTTTGTTTTTCGGTGTTAACAGATGGTGAAATTTTAGAATTATAGTATAGAGAATGCTGAAAAGGCTCTCTCTCTGGGCGCGGACGCCTGTGAAAAGCGTGTTTTTCGGTGGTGATTCTAATTACATTACCAATGTGTTTTCTTAGAACCATAAAAGTAAACACCACTTGCCGTACATTTATTTGCATCGCATTGTTTTATTGTAAGTTATGGAGTAGGATCTATTTATGTGACCTAAATAAAGGCTCTCTTTGGGTGCGGACGCCGAAATAAGCGTGTTGTTTGGTGGTGATTCTAATGTTGTGGCTGTGGTTGTGTTGTGGTTGTGTTGTGGTTGTGTTGTGGTTGTGTTGTGGTTGTGTTGTGGTTGTGTTGTGGTTGTGTTGTGGTTGTGTTGTGGTTGTGTTGTGGTTGTGTTGTGGTTGTGTTGTGGTTGTGTTGTGGTTGTGTTGTGGTTGTGTTTTGTTTGTGTTGTGGTTGTGTTGTTGTTGTGTTGTGGTTGTGTTGTGGTTGTGTTGTGGTTGTGGTTGTGTTGTGGTTGTGTTTTGTTTGTGTTGTGGTTGCGTTGTGGTTGTGTTGTGGTTGTGTTGTGGTTGTGTTGTGGTTGTGTTGTGGTTGTGTTGTGGTTGTGGTTGTGTTGTGGTTGTGTTTTGTTTGTGTTGTGGTTGCGTTGTGGTTGTGTTGTGGTTGTGTTGTGGTTGTGTTGTGGTTGTGTTGTGGTTGTGTTTTGTTTGTGTTGTGGTTGTGTTGTGGTTGCGATGTGGTTGTGTTGTGGTTGTGTTGTGGTTGTAGTTGTGTTGTGTTTTGTTTGTGTTTGTGTTGTGTTTTTGTTTTTGTTCTGTTCCAAAGTTGTACATTTTAAAAGATTTACCGTGGCGAAGCACGGGATGCAGCTAGTCTATAATATAAGCGGGCTGTGTCTGTCCTTCCTTCCTTCCTTCCGTCCGTCATCGCTATAGATTTTGGAACCATAAAAGTAAACATCGCACCATTTAGTGCTTTGCAGTGCATCGTATTGTCTTATTATAAGTATTAGAGTAGGGTCTGTTTATATAACGACATAGAGCTATTTTATAATTTCCACTGTTTGTACAATTTTGCATAACGTAAAGATAATATTAAATACACGCACATTGCTAAAACATATTAAAAGGATCAATGTCAAATATCGTTTTCGTTAATATTCCTAGAAAAAGTGGATACATTTTTATAACATAATAACTGTAGGTTAGAAAAATCTAATTAAACTGTTTAGTAATTTTGCCAAGGGAGGTATTTTAAAAATAAATTGAACTCACGCTAAAAATGTGAATGCAGAATCTGCAAGAAGGAATAATTGTTGGAATAATATAATTAGCAAAATGTGAATGCAAATTATGCAGACGTGTAAGAGTACATTATTGTTGGAATATTATAATTAGCATTGATTGATAAAAGGCTATTTTTTTATTTATTTTATTCACTGAATGTAATGTTTACTACTTATAATTTTTAATCAACTATTAAGCACTATTATAGACGCGTCATCACGTTCATTTGGTGCGAAATGGTTTTAGTTATGAAACTCTATTGTAAATTTTTAAAATTTAAAGTACTGGGAAAAAAATGCGTGAATTGATAAAGTGATATAATATGGTAGGTAAAACACGGATATTTTAAATACTGCTGGGGGTTTTATAGGAGAGGCGTAGAGAGGGGGGGAACATATGTCCCCTGTTGCCGACCTAAGGGGGCGCCAAAGTGGGTTGAAAAAAATGTGCGGGGGGGGTGGTGGTGGAAATCGGAAGTTTGAGGGCGGTGGGAGGGTGCAAATCGAAAGTTTGAGGGGGGGGGGGGATTTTCAAATCAAAAGTGGTGCAAATCGAAAGTCTGAACGGGGGGGGGGTGCAAATCGAAAGTTTAAGGGGGTGGGGTGGAAATTGAAATTTTGAGGAGAGGGGGTGCAAATCGTAAGTTTGAGGGAGGGGGGTCAAATCGAAAGTTTGTCCCCGGGCGCCGGAAAGGGTCGCTACGCCTCTGTTTTATAGTCATTCACTGTGTCAGACGCGTCCGGCGGCGCTCGGGAAGGGCGCGATTTGGCGCTACGGGCTAGACTGTGAGCAATATGCCTTTATGATTGCATTTAAATTGTGTTTATATTATGAGTGTTGTGTTTGTTTTTTTCTTTTGTGTTTTTTTTTCGTTCGTTTGTGTTGTGTTTAGTTTTGTTCTGTTCCCCAGTTGGTACATTTAAAAAAGATTTACCGTGGCGGAGCACGGGATGCAGCTAGTCTATAATATAAGCGGGCTGAGCGTGTGTCAGTCCTTCCTTCCTTCTGTCATCGCTATAGCTTTTGGAACCATAAAAGTAAACATTCGCACCATGCAGTGCTTTTCAGTGCACCGCAGTGTCTTATTATAAGTAATAGAGTAGGGTTTGTTTATATAGCGGCATAGAGCTATTTTATAATTGCCACGGTTTTT